AGCCAGTTGGGGTCGGCTTTGTTGGTATTGTTGTCGTCTCTAGGGACCGGCCTGTAAACCGGACCATAGCCTCATCAACAGTAAGGTCAGAGCCGGCTATGTAGAAGGAATCTCCAGTCTCTTGAATATGGGCTGACCAATCGTTGACCTTCCGGTATATATCCGGCATCCCGGCTTGGGCTTGGTGTTGACCTGACTGGCTAGGCTGGAAATCAGAGGTGTTAAAGATACGTAGCTGCCGGAGTAGACTTTAGAAGCGGTCCCGGGAGATAAACCGGGTGAATAAATGGATAGGATCCTCCTTTTGCTATTAAGTTGACTAGTATCTTGATATTTGAGATTCATTATAAATCCCTATATAAAGTAGGATTCCTAAGAAGAGGTAAATCTCTTCTACAGAGGTCTTTCTCTACTCATACACTCTTGACCGTTTAGCCCGGGGGCCTTTCCTTAGATAACGGCGCCGTATTCGTCTATTACGCCTACTGCTCAACAAGGTCCCGGGGGACATACTGGAGAAATAGGTCAAGCGGGGCTGCCGGTAGGTCCCGTATCCCTCGGCCCCGGGCGGGTACGTCAAAGGGTCTGAAGGTGCCCGGCCGCCCGCGTTCAACGGCCGGGGGTTCGTGGGGCCGGACTGTGCTGTTATCGCACCGCTCCGGCGTACAAATTTCAGCGCTGCATACCAATCAATCAAGCCAAGCTTGGGTGACGGGCTTGTCTGATTGACTGATTTTTCACAAGAAGCTTGCTTGATTTGACTGGCTTGGATTGAATTGATTAATATTACCTATTTAGGAAGTCAGTGAAGCTCTCACGATATCTCTATGCGTCAGAAACTTACATTATCTGATGTTCTGATGTCATCCTGCCCTCCGTCAACCCTTCCGCTTGAAGTAATGCCCACTAACAGCAACGCTGCCCCCTCGAACCCAGTTCTGGAGGCATTGTGTCTCCTTAAGTAGTGATGGTTTCATGGATAGCCTCTGTGACGTTAGCGTAAGTTTGGCAAGGCTGAATGCCCTCTCGCAGTCGGTCGCTATCGCTGGGATAGTAAAGACGTCGAGGGTAAGTTTACTGAGCGTTGGGAAGGTCTGTTGATGTGAAATCCACCACTGAATAGGATCGTCGACGGGCTGGGCAACTGAGAGGGTGAAGTATCTATCCAGCTCGTCAACCTCGTCGATAGTAGCGTCATGGAGGCTGCTGTTTAACCATTGACGATAGTCAGAGTCTTCAACCCTCGGAGGAACTGCGATCGATATAAAAGAGCCTCGCGGAGGCTCTGGAGGAGGCTCTGGATAGGTTGATTCTTTAGGACGGGTAGTTATCTCGGCATACTATTGCTCCTAATAGTCTCGAAGTCCTTCCTGGGCGTCATGAAGCCATCCTCGCGTCTCTGGGGTGTTCTAACGCTTCTTGAGCTATCGTAGGCCCCGGCCAGGGTGTAAGATCACTGCTGCGGCGTAGAGAGGAGACTCTCCAAGCTTGAGGTAATATTTGTTAAGTACTTGCCAACCATTAATAATCGATAGGCGTAAGTATCCGTGAGAGTCGAAGTTAATACCCTGGGGGCGGCGCGGTTGACTCTGCTGCGAAGTAGCGATATAGTCAGACTGGGTATGAGTTGGGATACTGTTGATTGATGGGGTCTGCGAGACTGGCGTTCTGGCAGATCGATGCGATGCCCTTGCTGGTCGAGATAGCTGTGATGAAAGACTTTGGGATACTTGGGTAGCCGTGAGGTTAATCTCTTCGGTAGTAGGGGTATCGTAGAGCTTGCGCCAGTCCTCGAGTCGATCCAAGAGATACTCGATGCCTGCCAGAACCTCCCAGAGTCGACCATGCCCGTCACCCTTGCCCCAGCCCTCACATCTCTTGGTCTGCTTATAGAGGGGCTCGAGAACCTTATTCAACTCGACGAGGACTTGCTAATCCTCGTTAGTGAGGATATCCTCACTTAGGACATGATCTTCGTCATTTTCGAGGCCCAGAGTGTGGCGTACGTAACCGTTGATCTGGGTGCGTTTGAGTAGGGCCCGGTTGATTATGTTGTATGTCGAGTTCTATCGAGTAGTGTTACTCAACATCAGATTCAGCTCCTGTGACGATTCCTCCCACAGAGTAAAGGCATTATCATCATCAGCAGCCTCGTTACTAATAGCTAAGAAGCTCTCAGAACGTTGTGGCGATGATCTGATATACTTGACGATGTTCCGGAGCTTGCCGACTGGACCCCTAGTCCTCCAGTAGGCTAGGTCCTCTTTCACTCTTCCAGCGTTAATAAGACGGTCAGACTCTTCCTCAAATGCCTCCTCATCAACGCCATGAATGATGGCACGGCCAACGAGGTTGAGGATGTGGCCATAGCATCGAACTCGACGTTGTTCAGCGTCAGTTTCTGTATATAAATGTGATAGAGATGGGTAGAGAGCCTTGATACAAGTGTTGTTAGTACTGGCGTTGTTAGAGACTGTCATACTAATCCTGTTGAGTAGGTCCCAGTCCTTCATAATAGTGTGTATCGTGGTAGCAACATTCTCACTAGAGTGAGCACCAGGTTGGCAGCGGAGACCTAAGAGGTACTGCGTCTGTTTACCCGACTGGTTGATGAAGTGGCTGTAGATGGCGACGATAGCGTATCGATTGGGTGAGGTCCACAAGTCAAACGATATATTGATCTTCGAGATTGCCCTCTGTATCTCGGTCTCGATCTGTTCCTTCTTGGATATGTAGAGTCGTCGAAGTTGTTCCCTCTGGCTAGATCTCGACCACCGGATCTGGGCGTTGACGTCGTGATTAAATAGGCTGAGCGTGTGCTGCAAGTACTGGTTGCTGAACGTTGTGAGAGGGTTGCTGGTATCAACGAGGAATCCACAGCTAGCTCTTCGATCTGGGTAGTTGTCCGCTTAGGTATGGCGATAGGAAGAGATTGGTGGCGCTTGGATGGAGGCCCAGGGTCGTCAGCCTCATCAGAAGACGTATAGCCAGCCTTCTTGCCACCTCGGAAGATGGAGTGCTCGTTCTCGAGATGCCTGGCAGCAGCAGATGTGGCGTTAGCGTTGAAGGGCTGGTCTAGAAACCCTGCCTCGTCGCAGCGTCGGCAAACCCAGTAGGCATTACCCCTCACGCCGTTGGCAAGGATCTCGTAGACGAAGATGCCCTCGTTTGTGATCCAAGAGGTACGGCCTCGGTTACCCTTCCTCGAGATGGCGTCAACGTTAACGAACCGCCGGCCCTTCCATATAGCGTAAGGTAAGGCGTCGAGAGTATTGCGCGTGGCTAGGTCGGCTATCGACGCGTTGCTGGCAGCAGTAGATTACACGCGAATCTGAGCGGCGATCCCGCGAGTCGAGGCCTCGCGGCCGACGAAGTGATCAATACATGGATTGCGGGCCGGCAGAGGCATCAGGGCAAGGCTTGAGGGGTTGAAGAAGGCGTTGACGATGGCGTATAGGTAGGATTTCGAGGGATTGACGGCGTCGTCAACGAGGGCAGTGGTGACGTCGAAAAAGCGCCGTTTTTCAAGGGCTGGCAGAAGGGGTCGAAAAACCCCGTTTTTCAACCCCTTGCAAGGGGCCCAAAAACGCGTTAATTAAGCCTTACAGCAAATAGCGCGTTTTACTGGCACTTCCTGGCAGGACCTAGCAGTCAGGTTAGTACTGCCAGGAAGTACCGGCCCCACTTGGCCACCTGTTAACGTGAGGGCATCACCAACTCGACGTCCGTAACATACGCGGATGGACTTTTTTAGATTTTTTGAAAGTTATTTCAAAAACTATGATTAGTCTGGGGGCCCGGATTTCCCTTTTTCCGGGCAACGTTAGCTTGATCAAGTCAGCCAAGCTTTCGGCGCTGTAGGCTTGTCTGATTGAATGGGGAAATGGCCTTGGATTGATTAGTTGATTGATTGATTGATTGATTCGGCTTGGATGGGATGCTGCGCTGCGTACAATCGGCAGTGCAAGCGACGGCGAGGTCTTCAGGAAGGAGCTCAACCATAATACAGCTCCGTACGGAAGCCCCGGAAGCCCCGGAGGCATCGGAATCGCTAGAAGACATCGCGGCATTGAACAAAATGATGATTTTGGTGGTGACAATAAGGAAGAAAACAAAGGTTCAAATGATGTTTCGTCATGTACTCATTGAAGTGCGGAGTAAGAGTGGATACAATAGTGGGTAGTTCTGGCCTTGGCGTTTTTGACGTTAATCCGCACTCGATGGGATAGTTAGGTACCTTGCAAAGTCAAAGGGTTGTATGCATCATGGCAGGTGAGCTGCGTCAAAGCATCACAACAAGTTACCCAGTAGTAAGCGGCAACAGGACTTGTATGACTCCGCGATGACTTGTCTTTATCATCAACGATGACCTTGGTGGGGGATTGGACGAACAGGGGAGGGATCAGATCGATGCATTTACGAAGTATCCGTAGTAACGTAAATGTGCCCAACGAAAAAGGAAACACGTATTGAATTTTCAGTTTTACAAAGTCAAAACAGAGTTTGAACCCGAACCGTAAGGGCTCCATTGGGATCCACGATTCCATGAGTCGTTAGCCTGCAGATATAGGCTACAGGAAACGGTAATACTTATCGCGATCTCCACAAGTCCCCGGGTCCATAATTCTGTAGTTCAACCGGTTACACTTTTCCTAGACTTGCGAGGGTGTCTATCCGTATGGCTGTACAGATCTATCCGGGTTCGCATCCCATCGGTTACGTACTCTCCTGTAAAGACCCGAGGATATTTGCAAGATAGAGCGGGGTTCCCGATTCAGGGATGTCGTCGAAGTTGAGCTGACCGGGGGGTATGCTTTCGGGTACAGTGGACGAGTGGGCGAACGAACCGAGACCGTCTGAAGAACACCTAAGGACTCAAGGGGAGGACTTCTTGTGAGTAAGTGAGGGGAGGTAGTTGTGTGGCTATGAATCAACGACGTAGAATAAGGTAAACGAGGTAGTCGAGGCTAAGCTCCTGCTCAACATCACCACATTTCACGATGGGCAGTCTTTCGCATCAAAATTTTGTCCCTCCGACGACCCAGAAGGCCATTGTTGTGAACGAAAAAGACGAGGTCGTCATTTGGGACGAGGCACCATGTCCCAAGATCCCAGCAGACCAAGTCATGGTTCGCGTTGAGGCCGTTGGCCTCAACCCGAGTGACACAAAGATGCGAGGAGCCTTTGCGACAAAGTTCGGCATCCTAGGCGCAGACTTCGCAGGAACTGTGGTCGCTGTGGGAGACGGTGTTGATGACATCGTGGTTGGCGATAGGGTCTTTGGTGCCCAGAACGAGATGTACGGAGCCACGCCTGAACGCGGCGCGTTTTGCGAGTACGCCGTGACTCGTGGGAAGATGTGGGCAAAGATCCCGGAGTCTTGGAGCATTGAAGCTGCCGCATCTCTGCCTGTAGGCGTGAGCACCGCCGGAATCGCGATGAAGCTGCTTGGCTTGCCTTTGCCTGGTCAGGAAGTTGCGAAGTCTGCCCCTGTCTTGGTTTATGGTGCGAGTACCGCAACTGCGACGATTGCTATGCAAATGCTGAAACTGTGAGTCAAATCGTCCACCATATATATCATCGAGCACACATCTAACGCAGTAATCGTACATAGGTCCGGTCTCGATCCGATCGCTATTTGTTCCCCGAAGAACTTCGACCTGGCGAAAAGAAATCACGCTGTAGAAGTTTTCGATCGCAATGACAAGGAGCTGGCGAAAAAGATTGTGAGTTGATATAACACAAACTTCCTTTTTGTTGAATTATAGAGAAACTAGCAGCTGACTGATGGTCTTCCTTGTTTAGAAAACATACACGAAAGGGAACCTGAAATATGCCTTGGACTGTATCACGACCGTTGAGTCTACAGCCTTTTGCTATGCTGCCATCGGGCGAGGCGGCGGGAAATACGTGTCTCTCGACCCCTGGCAACAGCACGCTGCAACTCGAAAAGTTGTCACCGCAGATTTCACAGTCGGTCCTCGGATTTTCGGCGAAGGATGCACTTGGCCCGAGCCTTACAAGAGCGATCCGTCGGAAGAATTGCGTGTCTTTGGGGTCTCTGTTTGGGAAACTGTAGAGAAGTTGGTCAACGAGGGAAATTTGCAGCATCATCCGCTGCGTGTTTTGGATGGTGGATTTGAAGCAATTTTGGCCGGGATGGAAATGGTTCGAAACAAGGTACTCTCTGGGGAGAAGGTGGTTGTACGTATGAATGCCTGATTTGGTGTAGAGAAGATGAAGAAGACATGCATATTGAAGCGATCTGACATCGTGCCGGGCTTTTCAAAGCAAAATAATATCATGGTCATAGAATATTGAAGCCATTTCTTAGATATCCATCGACCAAGGTCAATAAGATGCGAGAGGAGCAAGCGATAAGGTCTGAGGAGAGTGTGATACAGTGCTCTCTTCCTCAAATCGAAGTACCTTGCCCCACTGAACTCGGCCCAGGTACCTTGTTCAAGGCCTCCGTGGGCTTGGGCTCTTTTCTACCCGATTCACTAATTTCACCAAGGCACATAAATATCTCCCGAGTGTTTGCTCTCCTCACCTGTCCACTCAAACTTCCGGCCCCAATAACCTTACCCCAAAGACTCACTCACTGCATTATTCTGATAAATCTTATACATTTTGAGGTCGTGCTCTCATCTTCCATCATCCCATACTTTCACCTACGGGAAGAGCAATATCCATCAAAGACACAGTCACGATGGTCACATCACTCAAAAGGTCGCCATCACGGGCAATTCTCTGCATTCATGGCGGTGGTGCTTCCCCCGACATATTCCGTTTTCAGCTCGCTGGCTTCCGCGCGGCTCTCAAAGAGGATTTCGAGTTCGTGTTTGCTACCGGGCCCCACGTCGCGGTCCCCGGTCCAGACGTCCTCCCCTTCTTTGCCGGCATGAAGTCATTCTATTCCTGGTTTCGCAAGGGCGCAACCGACACCGAAGGGGAAGTTGCCGTGTTCAACGAAGCCATCAAGATGGCAGTTGAGGACTGGCAGCTGGAGAACGAACACGTCAAGATCGTCGGGGTCTTAGGCTTCTCGCAGGGCGGGCTGGCGAGTACGGTCTTGCTGTGGGAGCAGGAGATGGAACTGCTGCCGTGGCTCCCACGATTGGAGTTTGGAGTGTTGGTCTGCTGCGCTTATAGTGATGTCGCGACAGATTACATCCGCGGCAAGTCAGACGGCGGTGAGATTGCCAAAATTTCGGTGCCAACGTTGCATCTACATGGGAGTCAGGATTGCAACCTCGGACAGGCAAGAGACACTCTTGCAACGCATTATTCTTCGAATGCCTCTCACGTCATCAATTTCGAAGGGGGACATCATATTCCTCAGAAAAGGGAGGATATTGTGAAGATGACGAACCACATTCGACACCTTGGTAAAACGGACAACATGCACTAGTTTCCCTACTCAGATTTACTCATTCTCATGTATCTAGCGATAGCATCTACTTCATACACCTCACTTGAGCCAGACTTTTCTATTAACGTCATTTTCATCTGAATCTTGGTGAACTACTGGTCTTTTTGAGTAACTTTATGTGTCTTTTCTGAGGGAAACCTGAATGTGAAGGTTATCTTTGAACCATAAAGTCCAGCACTTCTGATCTTCCATCCATCGGTTACTTTCGGGACATAATTCCATATCGAAATGGAACAGAAAGTTGGCGTATAGGAGGCGCATCTCCTGTAACGCAAGACTGTTCAATAGGTTAGCTAAGGCACTATGATTCAAGATGATGGAATTGGACTTCAAGAAACGGTCTGAAAAGTTTGAAATACTTACTTTTTGCCAATACAAGCGCGAGGACCGGTGCCAAATACCTGGAACACATTATGCTGGTCGAACGCGTGGTACTCGTCGTAGCCGCGCTCACCCGAGATCCATCTTTCAGGGATAAACTCGTTGCCATCTTTCCAGTACCGAGAGATACGGAAGGCAGTCCAGGTCGCTATCGACATTTTGGTCTGGGAGATAGACGTAATTAGCCACGGGACGGAGCCTCATCACAAGAGCCATAATCTGGTGCTGCAGAAGACAATACTCACATCTTCAGGGAGAAGATGACCGAGGATGGCGTTGCCCCCTTCGCCTATGACACGCATACCTCCTGTCGGGACAGGAGGATGTACTACAACGACTCATTAGTGGTGTTCATGATAATAAAAGACTGGATATGATTCATACACCTGAGGCATTCAGTGAGGCAAGCCTGAAGATACGGCAAGTCTTTGAGAACATCGCCTTTGAGCTGGCTTGAGTCGCCGACCGATCTCACTTCTTTGACTAGTCGTTCAAGTTTCTCCGGAGTCTTTAGTAAAAGATATGTGAGAGCGCTCAGCGCTGTCGCTGATGTCTCGGTTCCAACTATCATGCTAGAATCAGGAGAAGGCAGGCCAAGGGCGTCAGTAACTGAAACGAGTAGACTCAACTTAGGTACTGGGAGAAGCTCACAAGTTGTTGGCATTGTTGTTCATTTCGGTACGAGTCAGCGTGTTAGATCCCTCGGCCTTGAGAACGAGTCCCCAGATATCGTTCCTGGCATCAGCGCCCTTGGCCAACCTCTTCGTGACACGCTCGTGCGAGCTTTGAACGTGCACTGCAGCAGCCTTCTTATCTTGTTCCGGCTGAAATAGATGCCACAAGTATGAGATTACCGGGTAAGGCCTCAATCTTGCCTTGACTATCATTCGTTTGAAATTCACTTGGACGGCGTCGACCCAAGCATTTGATCCACCGTCATCGAGGCAGCCTAGTGATTCGCCGAATGCAAGATCCGCCATGATATCGAACGTGGCGAAGTTGAAAAGCTGGACTGCATCCATGACAGCAACGTCAGAAGAGTTTCCCTCGCTAGAAACTTTTCGATGGACCAAGTCGACCATTTTCTGTGCATAGAGCGCCAGCATGGGTTCTTGTTTCGTGATGGCTCGGTCGCTAAACGCATTGCTGAAGATCTTGCGCAGGCGTTGGTGCTCGGGGCCGTGTGCGGAGGAAATTGAGTAACTCCCGTTGGAGAAGAGGTTCTTGCTGTTCTTCCTCTCTTTTGAGTTGACCTTACGAGTGGCCGTCGCATGCCCATATATGTCCTTCCAAGCCTGAGGAGTGATGTAACTCAGACGGCCAGGCTCGACGCGCACAACCTCGCCATATTTCGCATGTAGCCTGTCGAGCCAGCCGACAGCATCGCCAGCTACGAAGTGGTAGACATGAAGCAGTGGGGTGATTGCTGCCAGTCGCGGCCCTGGGTATCTTGCCAGTGGATGAAAAAAGAGGTTGTAAAAGGCGCGCAGTATCGCAACTGTCACAAGCCACAACGTGATGACTAGCCAAAACAGCCCTGCTGATGATAGCAAAGACAACATCTTGAAGTGCTACTTTGCATAAAAGAGAGTGTAGTGAGAATATGATAGTTCCGGTACAGTACTTCGGCGCTTCGGCTGAAGAAGTCTCGCCCGAGTCGAGTTGATGTATATTGAAGACCCGTCGCTTGAGGCGGGCCGGTGTTTTGAGGCGACTGAGGGCGTGCAGGGACTGCGACCTGACAATGAGACGGCGACGAAAAAGCGCACAAATCTGCCCATCCTTGGTTCCCCGCTCGGTCCCCATTCCCTGTACCCAGGAGCAGTTCTCAAGTCATATCATTTTGTGCTTTCACGCCACTACCTAGCTCGTACCAGGCTGTGACAAGCTCGGCACTGAGGTGGGCATAAGTATACTCCGTGACGCCTCTCATCGAAGATGGCACTGGTAATCCCTTTCTTTGGGCAAACTCTGGTAACACGCAACCTTTTCTGGATTTTGTATCTTTCCAACTATCATCAACAGTCATGGCAGCAGTTACTGCTTTCTTTGAGAGAACTGATCTCCACAATACAGCTAAGCCGTACTCTTGGGATGGCCCCGACGGGCAGTCATTCCCCAAGGCGAATTTCGCTATGAAGGACATGGAAGTAAGCTTAAGCAAAAGTTCGTTGAAGAAAGTGACAAGCGATGTTGACGAGTGTGCGATGTAAGCTTAATCTGACCGACATACGAACGCTGCCCGATTTCAAGCCCACCATTGAAGAGAATGGCTTCTGTTTCCTCGAGAACAAGTCCAAAGAGCTCTCAAAAATGACTGGAGCGGATGATTGCAAGCCGTACTTGGAAGAGATGGCTGAATTTTTGTACGTATGCACCATACCTGTGCAACAAAAATGCGAATGAGACGCTGATAATTCATAGGAAATCTCGATTTGGTACAGATGAGATTTCCCCCATCAATGCCAATGTTTGTAATTCATCTAGTTTCAACGGCCTTCATCAGATTTTAAGATCATATATACTAATCATAGGTACTTCACGCACATTCAGTTCCGAGATGCGCGTTCAAAGGGAGGCCGCACAGGACATCTTCCTTTTGCACACTTGGGTAAGAAAACTCTGCACTATTCCAACGGGCATATTATTGCTGCTAATGACAACCATTCCCACAGACAATACTGTAGCCAGTTCTTGGAGCAGAATATCCCTGTTCTTGACTGAGGAAGAGCGTCACCGCGTCCTCACAGGCCAAAGCCGGGCGAGAATTATCAAGTATGCAGCCAACCAGCCATTAGACCTCCCCTTCGGCTTCGCCGCGAGCGACCCGCTAACGGCGACTTTTTTGCTTTAGCATTTGGCGCCCGATGTTCAATCATGCCGAGGACATTCCCTTTGCCGTGTGCGACCCGAAGACTAACACCGATCTCGCCGATGTTGTCTCGGTTGACCGCATCACCCACGAAGCAGCCAAGGAGGTCGCCTACTTTTCGTGGAATCCTGCCCACAGATGGTACTGGATGAGCAACCAGACCCCTGACGAGATTGTTATCATGACACAGTACGACACCCACCCGCCAGGTGGCTTTTTCAACAGTATGTTACCTGTTTTTTAATTGGCGCGAGTATATCGCCGCGCGGCGAGTGATGACCGAGACTGTTCTAGTCGATCAAGGGATGATAAACCTTAACTAATGAGCCCCGCACCCAGTTGTTCCCCACGCTGCATTTCGAAATGGAGCGGCGAGGCCCGGCTGCCCAACGCGGTACAGTGTCGAGGCGCGATTCATCGTCCTGGAGCCCGCGCCGTATCAGAAGGATGGTCCTGGTCCTAACGGTCCATTCCCAGAAGATGGCCGACTTCAGCCGTGGAAGGAGTGGGTTACACCGCCGGAGCCGAAGCCTGTCCCGGCCCCCACCGCTGATGCGAGGCCAATGTACTTCTAACTTGATGGCGCGAACTGTAAGCATGTGTCTCGCTTTGGGTAAAGACCGAATACGCTTCCAGGGTCCAGACGACTGTCATAGCTCAAAAATAAGAATACTTGGCATGGAGCATGGAGGGCTCCGCTGTATGCAACCGAAGTCTCAACGTGGATCCCTAGTTTTGTAGTCGAGGTACAAATACAAACACGTCAGCTGGGGCGCTAAACTCTATTCTCGTCCCGACCTGGTGGAACTGTCAGCATCTAATCGGGTATTGGGGTATGATCCCACGGACCTACTCCGCACTGCACAAATGACGTGCGGCAAACGCCGTTCAGCTCCGCAAAAGTTGCCTGCAACTGTTTATTAAACGCTCTTCCGGCAGGAAACTCTGTAATATTCTATTCAAGGCTCGTGCTCCCTCTGCTTGCGAGCTTTCGGAGTGTCGGCCTGAAGAACCTCCCGTATCCGCGCGATCCACGGTGACCGGAAGCATCTCACATTTCGGATGTGAATCATGAGCTGTCAGAACTAGGTAAGGAGAGAACCCCGGTGCAAGTTTCTGAATCGTAACTTCCTTGCCTAAATCACCAGCCGAGAGTGACGAATCAGTAGACCCTGATTGTCATTACACATGTGCTCCATAGCCGGGAGTACAAAGGTCCGAACCGGGGTCGCTACGGGAGTTCATGACTCAGAGGAACGGAGCGTAGAGAACGGAGCGCAGGGCTTGGCTCCGGGAGGCCGGATTGATTGTGGGGAGAAGGGTTCACCAAGCCCTTCGATACCCGGCCGGGACATGGATGATCCGCAACGTAGACCGCTTGGCGCTAACCCGATATAACCGACTAGCACCAAGAGACTAAAATACGAATACTATGGTACGAGGTACGCCTATAAAGTTTATTTCAACCCACTTCCCATGTTCGCTGTATCCGTACGGAGTACAGATACAAGTTCGCCTAACTCTATCGACACTCCTAGTTTTTGCCTTACTTTTTCACAGACCCGCATCCGCAGACAGAGCCACACTATGAGAACCTACCTTCTATCACTAATCTTGTAAGTAGAAGTTTGTATCGAAAGTGGGGAGAACCTCGAAACCTAGACCGGTGAGTGAAGCGGTCAACATCAACAAGCACGGTCGTGCAACATCTTTCCTGTGCAAAAAATTCAGAAGTTGAGTCTGAAACGTAACTTTAAGTCACAAAGCCGCGCAGTACAGCCTTGGCGAAAATGGAGATCTTTCGATGCAACATTGTGGACAAATGTCATGAACCCAAGACGGCTACGGCATCATTCACGATGCCGAAGGCGGGGTCTAAGTGTGCATGCACAGTGCGGACAATATGAAGCGTATCTGTTCATCGATGCGGTGCATACTGTTGGGTTTGAGCCACACTTCTCCAGCATTCTTCATTGATCATCGCGTGACTATGTGTGCCATCAGAACTCTCCAAGGCTACAACGTTCCCCAGTTCTGAGAAAAGAAACCTTTACTTCGATTGTTGCTTCCAACGATCCAACATGGCATCGACTCTTCCGCCTCCCACTGGCTCTCTCACCTCTGGGCTTGTCTTTGAAGGCAAGCCTTACGATGTAACTAGAGAGGACCCTCTAAACGTGTTTCAGCAGAATGTCTCTCGCGTTCGTGAATACATCAAGAAAAGACTGGCAGTATGTTAGACCATTTCACAATAATTGTAACTCGTTTTGTTATCATCATCATTCCTCTATAGCTATTCCATAGCTTATTAGAAACTTAGGACTTTGATGGACTTGACACTCTTGTTGAGCTCAAGCTCGGGGACGGATCACAATACTTGAGCCCCCCTATCTTCATTGATTCTGTATCAACAGGTGCCAAACTCCTTGACATCATCCCAGATGATGTGCAGCCTGGTGTCACGGTGACGATCATGCCCGAGTACATCCTCGATGTCATTGAAGGTCGTATGCACGCCGTTCATGCTTTTGGCAAGCGAGCGAAGCCCCCGTGTCGTGGAAGCTTCCCAATGTGCTTTGCTCCAGGCGGACGTCCTCAACCCGTCCTTAACGCGGATGAGCTGGACTCTCAGGACTTACCAAAACCCACGGAGAACGTTGAGCAAATTAGACACGATCTTCAGAAATGGGGATACGCAATGGTGAAGAATGCTCTTTCGGCAGAGCAGGTTGGGATTCTCAGGACTGCTGTTGAAGAACAAGCAGCTGGCGAGCGACTTGCTGGTGTAGCTCACATGGACGGCGCTCATGTGCAGGCTGACGATCAGCCGAACCAACGAGTATGGTAAGCCATCAGTCAACTCTTTTGCGCCTTTCTAGTTCAAGATTTCTTCGGCGTCTTGCAAATTCCGTCAGACTCAGCCAACTGATTCAACAACATAGGAGTCTTCCGAATAAGGGCGATGAGTTTCTTGATCTTTTGAATCATCCTTTGATCGACGCAATCATGCCCTGGTTCCTGGGCAATGCGTTCAAGCTCCATTCTATGGGCGCTAACATTGCTCGACCTGCAAAGTCCGGTATCTATATGCACCGCGATCAGATGGGACTCACTCCCGAGACAATTGATCATCCTTATCTTCTAAACGCTATGTGGTATTTGGTGGATGTCACGGAAGAGAGGGGCGCCACCCGTATGTATCCCGAGTCTCACAACAAGAATGTCGCACCTCGTATTATCAACCAAGTTGTAAGTAATTGTCCCTTAATTTGCCTCACAAGATTCTCAGCGAATTGAAGTCTCACTAATCATTACTAGGGAGGATCTGTTCCGGCTGCTGCTCCTGCTGGAACATGTGTGCTCTTGGACAGCCGAACTTGGCACTCGACTGGTGTGAACACATCGGACGTGACACGGCCTGTCATCCTGTCAGCATTCTGCCGCTTCTTTTTGCAGGCCATGGAGAATTACCCAGAGCTCATGAGTGCGGAGACCAAGGCAAAACTGTCTGACAGGCAACTGGGGCTTTTGGGATTCCGCGTTCCAGTGCGAGATGGAAAGCGGGCGCAGGCGTACACCGCTTATAATTACCCAGGCGCGGATTTTGGAAAGTCGAGGGCGTCAGCAGATGCTGCATGGCTTCCCAACAAGACAAACGGAAAATCTTAGATTCATCGTGCCAGGACATTCGACATTTCTCATCTAGTAGAATAATGCAACGCAAAGATTTCGTGAGAAAACTTGTCTTCACTTTGTCCCAAAAAGCCTTTTTTGCTAGGTAAAGTACCTTCCTTGGGATTCCAGCCTTCCAAATACCTTAAAAATATTTCTGTTTTCTTCACTCTAATATCAATCTCACATTGTTTATTCTGAAATAACCTGAAACGCATACGGGAAAGTAAAATGAGTAGTAGTAGTATTTAACATCATCAGGGACAGGACCCAGCTATCTAAGTAACTAAGCCCGATCAACCAGAGCGCCCTTTGGGCATATGATGTGCCGTGCCGCTATCTAAACAGCGTACGACAAGTCAGACAATCTGTAATGTACACTTTTCTTCTCGTGCCTAGAGCAGTGGAGAGTAAGATGAGTCGATGAGGGAAAATCTGTTATTTCTCATATTCATCATCTACCTTACATTAGTACATGATGTACATCATACCAGCAAAGGCCCCAAGCAGCTTTCTCTCAGCCAGGCGACATCCTCATTTGCGCCTGCCCTGATATAGTCTAGGCTTGTTCTTTTCCAAGATTCCACGTCTTCCTCTGTGCAATCCCAAACCCGAGGGTTGATGGGAATAAGCCACAACATGTAGATGCCAGCGCTCAGAGCAACCCTGGACACAAATGCCTCATCTACAACAGCATTGCCAACCTGTTGTTTATATGCCGACAAGAACGACGATAGTAGGCCCCTATTGCCAAACTTTGCCTCCAGTATTATAACTTCAGCAAACCACATGCGGACATCGTTGGAAGGATCACCGTAGTGACATAGTTCCCAGTCCACGACCGCAAGGTCCGGGGCCATCCTCTTGTCTTCGGGAAGATGAACCACAATGTTCATAGGGCGAAAGTCCCAAGGCGTCAGCGTATGAGTAGGAGCGGGGGCACGCATTGCTGCCAGTACCCTTTCTGACTCTTCATCGTTCATTGCATCTTTGATCGCCTTTTCCGCCAGACCGCCAGGTACGTAGAACTTGTCCAACTCATTGTGATGAGAGCTCCATCCGTCGTGGCCCAGATTAATACCGGCAACATGCAGGCTACCCAGCCATCGACCCAAGCGTACACCAATTCCCGGCGCGTCCAGAAATTCGTACGTCTTGTAGGCCGTCCTCAGATCGGTCTCACCGACATTGCTCATGATGAAGCCGTTCTTCGTTTCTCTAAGCACGCGTGGAACCTGGACTGATGGCTCTTGGCAGCATGCTTCTTTCACTGCTCTCGATCTCAGAGCTTTGACTTCAAACTGAAGACGCTCCGGTGAGACTGGGAAGTTCCGGTCCTTAGGCGTGCTGTCGGCGCACTTCATTATGACTGGCTGGCCTGTCTGGTGACCATTGGCTGAGGCCTCCGCGTCGACCAATCCTTCGAGTCGCCAAATGTAGCATGATGTGCCAGTGTTGAGAGGTACCGCTGTTTCATAGGAGATTTCGTTCTGTGCGAGATATTCGTCGACCTCAACCTCCCAGTCTCGGGGATGAGGGGGTGCTTGCGGCGTGGAAGACATCATGGAAGCGTCCTTGGGATTGATGTGTCGTCAATAGACTCCATACGAACTGTGGCAGTCGACACAATGGATATCGTTCGTTGCAATCGGTATTACACCTTTCTCTAGTCTTTCTTCGTGGAACACAGTGTGTAAAGTTATCTTAGCGGAAATCTTGTGGCTAGGGTTTAGAGTTCAGCACATTTCAGTCTACCCTGTAGTGACACTATCCCTAAGTCAGACATCAGCCTCCGCTCATGGTAGGATTCGATCTGAGGGGTTGAAATAGACCTGCTTAACTCTGGTATCTGTGACAAGTCGCAAAGTTTGTCAATTCCCCTAGAGACAAATACGCTTACCTGTCAGTAGCGTCTTGGCTTACATGTAGATATGTGCTGTATCCGTAAGTTTGTGCCAGTGTGAAAGTAAATAAATTAGTAGAACAGCCGGCAATTCGGCCGTAGGATCGACCTGGGGTTGATCCACTGACTAAGATTCAGTTTCCCCGCCCATGATAACTTGCATCTAGCACCGGGGGTGCCAATAACAAATGTCACATCGGCGTTGTAAGTCTCCAGCCACATCTCGAATATCTCGGACTCCTGTCCTTGACCTCCTTTAACTCAAAGATGTCATAAACCGTACTGAGCTCCTCCGCCGCGTCATTGAGAGCACGCATAGGCCCGCTTTCTCTGTAACAAGGAGTCCCCAAGAGGTAACATTCACTCTGGGAGCAGCCTGAATAAGCGAGAGCATCTCCTTTTTACACTTCACAACTGTCAAATATCCGACCACAGTGGATTTGGCCAAGTTCTACGTGTCCGTATGCTCGCCCGGGCCTTTTACAAGGGCCAGTCCGCCTTGTTCCCCCCACTACCACAACCCATCCGACCATATGAGGTCCTAAGACGTATTAAAACTCCAGAGCTCAGAGGCAATATCCTCGGTTGCGCGCGCCATTAGAGGGTCCCATCATCCATGCAGAGTGCGGTGGGCATAGGTAAGCGGCATGTGCGGTGAATTGGACGGGTCACGGAACAAACCCAATTTTATGGAGTCGATACAGCTTTGAGCCTCGGATAAAGAATTCCGTCCTGTGTCCCAGTCTTTGAATCAGTTCTCACCATCTGACATGTCTGGTTCCGTATTCATTCACAAAAGCCCGCTTCCTGAGCAGTGAGAACAAGACGAACAGCCTTGCCAAATGATTTGTGTCTCGGAATGGCCGGGACTAGACCTCAGAGGCTCAGACTTGACGTATACTTCAAGAGCACGGTATGTTTGAATTGAATGAGTACCTTGTTTGAAAGGCGTCAATCTTGTTCTCGTATCATTCAAATTCTCCTTCACGCTTCCTGTTTGCCAGAAACAGTCGACACACCTGCCAGTTGTCACATTGACCAGGATGAGTTCCAATACCAGCACTCCAGGAATGGAGCTCTTCGTCCGCAAAATTGACGAAAATGCCAAATGGCAACCTCATCATACGCTTGTGCGATTTGCCGGCGGGCCTGACTGGGAGACAGAGGGCTATCGTTCGTTGACTTGGCAACAATATGCCGACGGCATCAACAAGACTGCACACTGGCTTGACGAGACCTTTGGCAAGTCTGTGGACAATGATACTGTGGCGTATTCTGGTCCCAGCGACGTCCGATATGCGTTTCTGTTTGCAGCATCGGTCAAGACAGGTCGCAAGGTATGCACCGATATTCCTCAACCGGAGCGTACTTCATGCTGACATAAACCCAGTTTCTTGTTCCAGATGGCCGCTTCATGAAGGATGGTCTTGACGCGCTGCTAAAGTCATCAAACTGCAAGATTTGGCTATATTCTGAGGGGGGTGCATCCAGTCCTGAGCCTAAGCTCGCAGAATCGGGTATCCACGTCGAGCAATTTCAAAGCCTCGATTGGTGTCTATCTGCCCAAGGAACCGCGCCCTACGTCTACGAGAAGACCTACGAGGAGGCGAAAGACGATGAGATTCTCATCATCCACACTGGTGGCACCACAGGTAAGACAGAGTGCGTCTGTCATGTTCACATAGTAGCGTGTACTGACCAGTCGACACAATAGGGGCACCTAAGCCAATCTTCATGAACAATGGCTTCTGGGCAGCTGGGTGTTCATCTGCCGGATTGGCTCGCCGTCATTGGCCTAGGGGGATATCTACGGATTCTTTCTACGGCCGATCCCTGATTTTGGCAATCCCCATGAGGCTACAGCCCGGTCTTGTCTTGATCAACATGTTTGCCGTTTTCTCCGGCACTTGTGTTATCCAACCTCCTCCGGACGTAGTTGGAGTCCCACCGGCCATTTTCCACAAGCTTCTCCGTCTCAACAAGGTTGATGGCCTGATGGGGTTCCCTTTTACCATAGTTGACCTGTATAACAATGAAGAGACCCGGGAGTCACTGAAGTCGCTCGAGTTCATCACTTATTTGGGATCTGCTCTCGACCGAGTTGTTGGAAACGCACTGTGCGAGCACACCCGGCTCAATTCCGTCATGGGAGCCACAGAGTCTGGCGGCCGCTTTTCTCTGCACCCCATAGAAAGGAAGCTATGGTACAGCTTCCAGTTCATTCCAGAGCACCATGTTCGTTTGGTCAAACTAGAGGGATCTGGGGAAGCTTTGGGTGATGGAGATGACTCTGATGTGTACCAAATGTTCATCGACAGGCCACCCGATTATGGACCATCCATCTATCAGTGTGCCTTCTGGAACTACAAGATGTTCAAGGACGTTGAGACAATCGATACCAAAGAGTTGTGGCGCCCGGTTCAAGACAGCGATGGCAGTACCCGTTGGGAATCGGTAGCCAGAACTGATGATTGGACGAAGCTGATTTGGATGGCCAAATTCCACGCACAAGACATCGAGACTAAAGTCGCCAGGTACCCTGGTATCAAGCACGTCATGGTTGGCGGGGCAGGACGCATTGCACCATACGTACTGATAGAGGTGAAGGATGAATTGCTTGACAAGAACCACGAAGAGCTTCTTGACGATATTTACGAGAAGACCATTGTGGGGCACAATGAGATTTCTGCGAAAGCAGTGGCTATCCCGAGACAGACTGTGTTCTTGGCCAGCAAGTCAAAGCCTATCAAGCTAACTGTCAAACAATTGGTGCTTCGGAGGGAGGTCGAGAAGGACTACAAGGAAGAGATTGAGGGTGTATACAAGAGGCTTGAGATTAGAAGCAATCAGACGACAGGTGAGAAGTTCGTGCAGAACATGAATTAGATAGTACATCATCAGTTTTTTAGACTGTGTTAAATTGCTCTAGTCCACAGAAGAGTAATTGACATGAAGATTCTAAGCTTCCATTTGCAGAACGTACTCAACGACTTGATCAGTTCACCATAATAGCCTTTGCTCCTTTAGTTCACTTCTCAATTCTTTTTTTTCTTCTATCTTAGAAAAGATCATAAAGAAAAAGACGCATATATGGTCCTGTATGGGCGAAGAAAAGCAGGGTTACCGGGAAAAGATGAGTAGTGTAATTGATTCCCTCGAGTCCAGCAATTACTAATCTAAGTCCACCTTACTCCTCTCCCGGGAGCTTGATCTCATGGCCATTTCCTTCTCTTACAAATCGCGTAAGAACGATAGCTACAAGTGATACAGCGCTACTGGACCAAAATATAACTCCAGTCAAGTTGTGCGTCGACCCAAAAGCGTACAAATTTCCTGCCAAGGCTGAACTAGCAGCTCGAACCGCCATCGATGTGAAGAAAGTGATGCTATGGGTTCTTCCCAACGCCGATGGATGGGGCGAGGAGAAATTTGCCAGTAAGAGCTGTGAGGGCGTCACCACACTCGTAATGAGTGATGTTGAGGTCTGGATAAACACCAAGAAAGCCCACACCGCCACGCCAGTCTTTTCCGACGGTGGCGGAGTAGAAGATGGAATGATGGCAACATAAGGATATGCAAAGTAAAGCAGGGGAAACCCGAGGTAGAACAGTTGCCAAAGTCCTAAACAGCCAAAGCGCTGATTAAGCCAGGGGTAAACAAAGATCTGCATGGGAATACCGACAATCCCTATATCACATTGAGTCAGCTAATGTTGTCTCATATAACTGGTTTTCGAATGATAACAATGATATCAATGAAAGTAATAGAGAAGTTCTTACCAAACACCGTGGAGTACCAGGCAAGAGACTTCGGCCTAAAGCCGGCGCCACCCCCAAAACGGAACGGCAGAGTCCTTGATAGTTCGGCTTCCTTGGTAGAAACAGGATCAACTAACATGTTGGCCATGGCAACACTGACGCTGTTCAGATGTAGTTCATAGAGGAGAGTTGCCATTAGGACCAGCAGCATGTTAGTTGTGAAAATGCGACGCGTTGGGAGTCTCAAGTTCTTTTCACTCGGTCCGTTAGGTACGTCAGGGGGCGTGGAAGCGCCAGACGGATCGTCCCCATCAGCCTCCTTTATGAAACCCATCTCTTCCCCATCATCTTCTTCTGAGTTGATGCGTGAGTAGTGAGCGTCTTCCGACTTTTTGAATGGGTTCAAGCGGAACAAAGAAATAATTTTCTTTGAGATGGCAATTCCAGGATCGAATCGACCTCTTAGAGATTTCGATGTCTGTGTTGCGTCAGTCCCAAACAAGTCAATACCATTTCATCAAGACAAATATGAGCATATATGAATGACTACATACCTCTTCGAGAAATAGAAATGCGGCAAGCAATAGCAGAAGCAAGAAGCCAGCGTTAAGCAACGCCGGCAGAGCATATGGGTGTTTCCTTACAAAACTATCATCTTGGCCTGTTGTTTCTAGCTGAACAGTCCAACCTGCCACGAGCGGACTGATGATTATAGCCATACGAGTGGCAATTGGTAAGAGTGCAAAGGCCCTGGCTTGGAAACTAGTTGAACATGTTAAGTCAGTCTAAGCTGTAAAAACTCCCAAGCTTCCTTATTTTGGCTGTCATATCTACTAAACATCGACTTACCGCTTCTCCTGAACAACTTCAGAGACCATTGTCCTCACCATGGCAACGTTCCCATTGGTTATTCCCTCAAATACACGAAGCAATACGGCCTGCTTGAAGCTAGTGATGAAGCCAAATAGCGAACAGCTTATAACTATGAATGGTGTCAGTTCTCATCTGAATTAAAAGAATTGTTCGAACATCCCAGAGGATGTCACTGAAGTGGCGACTTACATGATCCCGATAAACTCGTTAGCACAACGAGCTTCCTTCCTCCTCGGGGAGAATCCGACACCACGCCCCATAGTAAAGATGAAATTGCTTGCGCAATAGTGTATGCTGTCTGAAGATACGCGGATTGTGTGATTACTTCAGCACTAGACAATGTCGCATCAAGAGATTGAAGTTGGTAGTAGATGTATGCTCCGATGGAAATCCTGACGACAGGTTCACTGAAGCGGATCATGAACAAAAGGAAGAGCTGGTCCTTTCGTGGTAGAGAAGACCAGGTTACCGGTGCGTGACCATCCGACATACTGAGATGTCAGACTCTAACTTCTGTGATATGAGTACCTTAGCGGTAGCTGTCGTATGTTGGTTCGAGATAACGTGCCATGTAAGAGTGATGCTTGATGGAGGGCAAATTTGGCAGGCCACATGCCTTGGAACCTGAAAAGACCATTGGCACCACCGCTTCTTCGAATAGCAACTTCCTCTCTCCCGCCAAGCCACATTGTACATATCATTCATAACAAAATTTCAACCTTGTGTCCAGCCCCATTCATCATGCACTGTGCTGATCCTGACAAGGGTGGCTCGTCGACGAGAACGGCCAAGGAACTCGGTTGATAAACAGAGTTTACAAGGTACCCGCCCGCATGGGTGTGCGTAATACGTGTACGAAAAAGAAGGAGTAACGAAAGCGAGAAGTTACACTTTACACCCTGCAAGGACATTCATCCCGTGCATCCGACTCAGCATGCCGGTGCCGCCGGGGCGTTCCGCAGCAATATATCTGAATGACCAAGGCCAGGAAGTACATGGCTCTTTTAGACCGGAGAGGTAGCGGTTTCCGCCGGGGACTCGGCGACACCAGGTCATGCTGACATCCTTTTGTATAACAAATCATTGCTGAGCTCTTTCACGTATCTCCGATCAACACTATGGAACAGTACTAGTAGGCAGCGTCACTCACTTCCTCCTGTTCGCACAGGAAATGCCCCGTATCACTATGGGCGAGTCTACTTCTGGGGCTCTCTATTCCTCCGGATCCGCGTCTAGTACGGAGGACCTAGAATTGGCAGAGCTTGGGGAGGAACCCCCCCAGAAGCACGACTTGCTCAAGCTTTCAGGCTTGCTCCTCCTCACGTCTCCTAGTCTGGGCCTTCAAGTGTCTTGGTTTCTCCTGACATCGAGCGGCACTGTTAGTCTTTTTTTCCAACCCTACCCCAGCTGTGCGACTGACGAACAGCCCATAGCCCTACCTGATCTCGCTCGGTATCCCCAAATCCATCATCTCCTTGGTATGGGTCACCGGTCCTATTTCCGGCGCTTTTGCGCAGCCTATTCTCGGTGTGCTCAGCGACGAGTCACAACATACCTGGGGTAGGAGGAAGCCGTTCATCGTAGGTGGTTCGCTTTGCGCAACTACCTTCCTGCTAGCTTTGGCGTACTCCGAAGAGCTCACAGCTTGGACATGGAGTTTCAGTTCCGACGTTTCTGATAACTCGGCGTACTTACCGACGCAAGTTCTCGCAGTCTTCTGTGTAGTTGTTACCACGTTCGCACTGCAGGCATACGCAGTCGGCGTGAGGGCTCTAATAGTAGATAACTCCCCTTCAAGTCAACAGTCTGTCGCGGCTTCCTGGGCCATGCGATGGAATGTGCTGGGCAACGTGGTGCTCTCTTCCGTCGGCTTCGTGGATGCCCAGTGGTCCTTGGCTGGTGCAAACAGCAACGTGCGGTTCAAGATACTCGCTCTTGTAGTTGCAGCTTGTACCTTCACGACTGTCGGTCTCACGTGCTATTTCATCACTGATCAGGACGCCACAACCCCGCGTGGCCGCCAGGTCTCTTTTGCACGACGATCATGGTCCATCATCTCACCGACAGGGCTCGCCAAACGGTGGAAACAGATCCCTCCACGCAGTCGCCGGGTCTGCGAGATCCAATTCTGGGCATGGGCAGGATGGTTCCCCGTGTTATACTACATGTCAACGTAAGTTCCCGGCTTCTACCTACATTTGATGCACCAAGTTGCTAACTCGTGGATTTGAATCAGATTCGCTTATGAGACAGGTAGATGTTCCGAACCTTTGTGGTGCTTCTAACACTGACATCTCTTAGCCCTCTCTGACAAACTCGAGCAAAGACAAAGACAGCTGGGACAGCCTGACCGAGAACTCGTCGAAAGTGCAAAGGACTTTGGCTTCTTTGCCTCCTTCGCTTTCGCAATAGGGGCCTTTGCTGCGAGTATCTTGCTTCAAATACTCGACCGCGTCATGCCGGCCTTCTCTCGCAACCTCCCTAGAGTCTGGTTTGCATCACAGTGCTTCTTGGGATACAGCATGCATCTCACCTTTGTCGCTCGCAACGGCGCCACAGCCATCATCGTGGTCGCCATGATGGGGGCTACAGCCGCTGTAACGATGTGGGCGCCGTTTGCCTTGATCAGTGCAGAAATCTCTGAGCTATCCGCGGGAAAGCAAGACAGCGAGGTTGCATGGATCCTGGGGCTGCACAATATGGCAATATCTTTACCTCAGATCGGCTCAACTCTACTTTGCGCAGTTATCTTGGCAGTTCTGAAAGGTCTCGCCGTCCAGGACAGTGTTGCATGGATCTTTCGGCTAGCCAGCATAGCTGTATTTTGGTCAACGTATCTAATTCAGAAGTCTCAGTGACTGCGGTCTATGAAAGAAGAGAGCGTAAAGATCATCTCATTATCCAGAGCGGGCCGCTCTGTTGAACGTGCATGTGGAACGTAGCTACAGCGACTACTTTCATGGCGATCGGGCCATCATGGAAGGTATTTTGACTTCACTCCGCTCGTATCTCCATATCCCGTCCTAACAACGATGATACCAAATCTTAGGTTTCCGGCTTCAAGGTACGCAGAAACTTGTCTGTGTCGTGAACATCAAAATCGAGAGTCCGCTTGTCAGCCCAGGCCTGAAGCTTGCTAAAGTCGGTGCATTGGCGATGCCCGGTCCTGTTAGCTTCAATGTCCATCATCTCTTTCCCTTTAATGGTACCGCCCTCTTTCCAATGATATGTTCCGATCGATATGTCTGCGTTGCACATGATTCCCTGGATCAGGACATTGAGACAATGAGCTAGGTGGCCAGGCTTGGTCGAATGTCCGCTACCGTAGTGATCCATGTACTGGGACTTCCAAGCACTCTTCTGTTGACAAGTCAGTAACGCGATAACGAAGAAGATATGACTGTTCTCAGGGATAAACATGAGATCTTCAAGGAGAAGCTACTTGCGACACAATGGAGCATATGGAAGGACTCCAGATAACCGATATATCCACTTCCGTCTTTGAGAGCGAGCGACGTCTTCTGCATCCGGTTCATCTCAACCTCGGAGAACCTGAGCATGAATGCTTCGCAACTCTATTTAGAATCTGATGTAGTCGATATCGATTGATGGCGATGGAACTCACGTTTTTCAAGCTCCTCCCATGCCTTGTCAGCTTCAGGGCCGGGTGGGCCAGTGAGCACGTTGTCGGGTAACATGGGGGCTTCTTCTTTGACTGTATAACTAATAGCCATCTGCGCCGGTGCTATGAGATTATATGTCAGTACCCTCGCGTAATCATGGTATCAGGCGGAGGGAAAGGCTCCTCACAGTAAGCTCTTTCGAGCACCGCAGCCTCCGGCCCAACGTGTTTCCCAACATCGCCTATGTTGTAGATGAGAAACGCGACGTTGAATCCCAAGAAGATCACATGGCTGAGCCAGAGTCTCCTCCGCCAGCGGGGCTCAGTCGATCGGTCTTGTTGCAATCTCGATCTCTCAGCCGGGGCCAAGTCGAAGCTGGATTCACCGCTTTCACTCGTTAAGAAGGGCTTCGCGTCTTCGGTAAGAGAAGACATGCTGTAAAGAGTCTGGAAGTGTGCAAGCCTGGGTGTGGCAGCGTGTAGCACATGTGGTGACTCTGAAGTCTGATTTTGATTGAGATAAGAGGAACCCTCTGGAGAAAGCCGTAATGGCGGGCAGGTCGGCATGAATCAAATCAGGCAAAGATGACGGGAGGAAGACTGCCCAGGCAGTCGGCTCCAACTCGACCGGCTATCGAAGGCGGGCTCACCGTTCCCTTACAGCAAGACCAGCATCCACTGAACCCACACTTAGACTTGGAGATCGGAGTAACGGCACGGAGGATACAGAACTTAGTCTTGGGGTGTGTTAATGATACAAGGATTCATAATCAACGTTCCATCCGGTGTCGATAAACCTTGACGTGAGAATACACCCCACTCCGGGATCATGAAGTGACTGCCCTTTAGTCACCCGAGCATGGCCACCTGAAATCTGACGAACTCTATCTTTTGGGTCTCTCACCATATGACTCGCATCCGGTGGGAGAATTCTCGCATCCTGTTAGTTCAACGCCAGGGGTTTCTCTTAGATCGTTCCCAAGAAGCGAGAGATTCAGCAGGTATCTCTGCCTGCCCAGAGATTAGTAGACAGCCTGTACATGGTATCAGAATAGACACTGAGACACGGCCGGCCGGCCTCGTTCAGCTTGACATCGCTCCCCCTTCCGTAGAAGCACAACATTCTATACTTTCCATTGATCAAGTTACACATTCTTCATAGACTGGTGTTCCTGCTGCCTGCAGCGCACCTAGAAACAACGACCACAGAAGACATGCCTGCAGCACCTTCAGCAAAGTACAAGCCAGTCTCTGATGATGGCTTCGAGGACGTGAAGACCGACGACGACCACGAATAATACCTACTGGATAAGGGAAAATGGTCTTCGAGTAGAGGCACATCGAGGCTAAGGAGAGCACTCCAGATAATTGCCATTCTCCTCGCTCTAGCAACGTATACTTGGGCAGTCCTCTACTACGCCCAGGAAGTCATTTACAAGCCATTTTGCCCTCGACTAACGACACCAGACACGGTACATGTGTGGGTATATGGAAGGATCTTGAAGCACTTCTTGTCCTTTCTTTGTTCTTTTACTAACGGTCCCCCTTCCAGGACAAGGTCGAGTTCAACCCGCAGCTCGTGAATCCGGTGACGCCAGGTCATGACCACCCACTGTTGGGCAATCCGACCCCAGAGGTAGATGCAAACTGGTCTGCACTGCTCTCAGGTAAGCCTTTTTGCGCCAAAGGTTGTAGGAATTCGAGGATCATGTACTGAATCATCGTAGCGTTTGCCAACCGAATCCCGGAATCCGAGGTACGACGCCTTGGTATGGAAGCAGATGCGATACCTTTCAACGATGGGGAAGGCGGCTAGTATGTCAAGCACCTAGAGAGAGTCCAGTTGTTGACATTACGATCTGACTGACTCTATTTGAAGCCTCGTAGGTCTTGCCATGGTGCATAACCTACACTGTATCGTGAGTATTGAGGTTGATCCTTGCAATTACCCCTTTACGGCGGCGTGTCAAAGACTAAAGCTTCCTATCTGCGTCAGAACTGTCTGTACCAGGTTGCGCATAGAGACTACTACTACACTCCCAATACCACAGAGAAGGAAGACGCAACTCAGAAGAGTCACATAGGTTAGTTGAAGTCCAGGTTAAGGCGTGCCGGAAGACGGACTGAAGCTTGGTGGCATTGGTGGGCAAATATGTGAGAGAGAGTTGTAGCTGACTCCGAACTTGCCACAGGACACTGCCTCCACCACATCATGGAGTCTGTAAAATGCCAGGCAGACCTGACGCCCGTTCTACTTCACTGGACTCTCCATGATTTCCACTCGGTCATCAACTGGGATGGCGTCGAACGTACCTGTGCAGACTGGTCGCAGTTGATGGACTGGGGTTCGGAGCATTCCGTGGGAAAGTCTACCTCCATATCTCAGTTCACCGGTGAGTACAACTGAAAGTAGTGTATGAATCATGGCTAAGGACGATTCAAATAGACACAAAACATCCAATATACGGTACGTCCACAGGGTTCTCGGCATTCAAATCAGTGCATGACGTTTCTCTCTCTCTCTCTCTCTCTCTCTTTCTCTTTCTCCTAATCCTCGATAAGTTTCAGCACGAAATAGACCGTTACTGATGAACATCGATAGGCAACTTCTTGAATGAACACGGCAAGTTCAGCTGGGTAGATCAGGAGGGAGGCGTGAATTATAAGGAGTTTTTCAAAACGCCAGAGTATCAGAAGTGGGCGAAAGATCAGGGGCTCGCCTTGGGGGAGGCGGCGGCGGAAGAGTACCTGAAGTCGTTTTACGTCAAGCAGTAGTTAGAATAGTCAAAGAGCTTCTTCTCACAAGTTATGTGTTTAACTGGTTAATCTTGAGGTTGCAAGCTGGAAAGATTCTGAGCGCCGGAAAAGGCTTTGCGTTTGCGTGACTTATGGGGGAGTTCATGATTGCCTGGCTCCGAGCATCGGCAATATACCTCGAAACTACAAAGAAGAAAGAGCGGTCTACCTCAAGAGCAGATATGGGTAATACTCGAAGGTATCTTTCGCTCCTGGAGTCATTCCTAGCAGCATCAACTGCTGCTATGATATCCCGGAGGCAGACGGGCCGTGATCTCAGTCCTCAGTCATCAATATGTTGCGGAAGAAAGACACATCAGTTACGATTCGAGGCGCACAGTCAGCTAAACGACAAGATATGATGAGAGGTTTTGTTATCTATGATCATATATGCGATTCTGATGAAACATAGACAAAGTAGATGGCCGCTAAGGAAAGGCACTAGCCCACCTAGCGACGAAGGCCTCACAACGAACACCCTTCATCAGATTCATGCGAACTATCAATAATCCAGCATCAGAAGCTTCGTGGTACAAGTCCCGAAAGCCAAGACATTCCAGATAGTCTTGACGAATTGTGCTGATGCATGCGTAGAAGAAACTAATTCGAGCTCTGAAGATCACCTCGCCAGCGCCAACTCCAAACACACCACGACACCCTCGAAACACCCAAACCACACAAGTGACAAAACCTGACTACACAAACTACCATATACAACAAACGAAACCTAAACAACTCAGGAAAGAACGATATGCGAAAGAGTTTTCAACACAAAACATTCACCCTGTGTAAACGACCAAGTCTCAACCACGTCACAACTCGCAAACAACCCCCCCCCTCTCTCTCTCTCTCTCTCCCCGAACACGTCGCAAAACCGCCCTCAGCCTACGCGTTTCCTCCCACAATCCGAAGAAAACGCCAAGAAGAAGAAAACCCGCTGACGAGGCAACAAAAACGGTGCTGCCCCGTGCTCTTTCGACACATCTCTGACGTGGGACCATCGAACAAAGACCACAGTCTCACACAGTCTCATCAACTCAAGTTGGAAAGCAAAGACCATAAGTTCAACGCCTCAAGCCCAATTCGGCGCATCATCCCCAGAATTTTCCATCCTCATGTCACAGGATGTCAGTGTGGAAAGAGAAGATGAGGCTGGGATAAGCAGGCAGAAAGAAAAAAAGTCGTCCTCAAAGCCTCTCATCGGGCCTACATTGAGTCAATCTTGTCTTGGCACGTAACACGTCAAACTTGAGACCTCAAAAGGCGGACACGAAATACGTGTGTGTGTACGCAACGGCGACGATCCACAATAGAGTATGAAGAGGAACCTCCGACACTGGTCCGGATTCTGGATCACCGCGGGAAAAAATATCGAGGCAGACAGAGATCGGCCGAGTACAGACGAACACGCAACGCAGGTGTGCGGCTTCTTTTCAGGGAAAACCTGTCTCGAACCTCAATGAACGAGACGCCTAGTGGCCTGAACATGCCCAAAGCCGGGATCAACCAGAAACCAGGCCACAACCACCACGAACGCCATCGTCTCATCACAGTCACCCATCAAGCACCAAATTTCAAAGCTCAAAAACGCCTGTCCGAGACAGGGGATTATGGTATCTCGTATGTACAGGCTCCTCTGAAAGCTCAGCCAGTCGTGTACACACCTGCGCAACTCTTGTCTGTCTTCAATCGCAATGTGTTTCCCCTTCTCCAAACGCCTTGTTCAATGGAGTTCCCAGGCTAGAAGTTCCGATCATGTTTAGATCATGAAGCACCCGTTATGCCCGGGTTCCCATGCTATGCAAATGCAGTTTCATGACAGCCCCCCCGCCTTGGATGAGAAAAGGACAAGAAACAAAACGAAAAGACAGCAAATGTGATGGGAGAGAGGAAGATGAAGAGTCCTTGAGTCATAGAGACAGACATGCAAAGAGGCAAAACAACCAGCCCCTTGCCTCAATGCGCAGCGACTTCCCGCACTGCGTCCTGTCAACACCCGCCCGTAATTCCAATCCCCTTTTGTAGATGCCCGTGGGTGCGAGAAAACGAAGAAAACCGGTGATATGCCAATTGACGCGGCCCTTGTCCGTTATCCAACAGTCGAGTAACGTTGGCAAAAAGTCGGCCCTTGAACATTCTCCGAAAATAGAGGCGCCCCTCCTCATCATTATTAGTGAAGTTGAATTTTCTTGACCTCCTGCCCAACGCCGATGTGGTTTGGTATGATTCCGTGGATACTGCTCCTTGGGTGTGACTCCTCACATCACAATGCAATCCTTGTCCTTGTCCTTGTCCTTCTCTTCGCCGCCCTTCTTGATCTTCCCACTGCGAGGAGGGGCGACTTCCATCGGGGTACCGCCGCTGACAGCTGCCTGGATGATCGCCAATCGCTGCTTCGCGCGCTCGTCACCTGCGTCCGCAGCTTTGACATACCAGACGTTGGCCTCCAAGATGTCACGCCGACAACCGATGCCCATTTCTGTGAAATAGCCCACAGCGTACTGCGCCTTGACGTAACCTACACAGTAATGATTAGCCTCGTCAACTTGCTCAGCAGAAGTCTCCCAACTTACTCATCTCGGCCGAACGGCGAGCCCATTCGTAAGCTTCTTCCTCGTCTTTTTCCAAGATCGGTTCAGCGCCGACCATGTACCATGCACAGAGGCCCATCATAGCACCTGCATGTCCTCGCTCGGCAGCACCAGTGTAAAAGTGTACGCTTAGTGCGGGATCGCGAGGACAGCTGAGCTTCCCATGTTCGTATGCCTCACCCATGCGGAAGTTGGCCTCTGGGTGGCCAAGTTCTGCCGCGGCAGTAAAAAGCTCTGCTGCGTAGACCTCATCCTTGAAGATGTCGTCGCCGTATCCCGTCTCGTACAAGCAAGCCAGCTGGTACGGAGCTGCGCTGTAGACGGCATCAGCAGCCTCTGCTGCGAGCTTCATCCACTTGATACCCTCGCGGTACCGCTTCTCTCCCAAATCACCTGATAGGCAAGCCTTGCCGAGTCGAGACATGGCGCCAGGGTGACGCTTTGACGCAGACATGCGGAGGAACTGGACAGCCTTGGCAGGATCTTTGCGGCAACCCCAACCAAACTCGTAGCATAGCGCCGTGCGGTAAGCAGACTCGGCATGGCCATGCTTCGCAGCGAGGACGAAGAGAGGGAATGCTTGGTTATAGTCCTCTTTTCCTTTACTAAACAGACCAGAGGCGTATCCATCTGCGAGGTAGTATTGAGCGAAGGGGTATCCGCCGCTGGCTAGCTTCTGTAGAATACCCTTTGCTTCTCGCAGGAGGTCGTAGGGCGTTGACGCCGCGGAGTTCTTTGGGCTTGAGTTCGCCTTGCGAGAAGCTGGTTCACTGGGGTCTAGGCCTTGCTCTTGGGCGGTAGAGATGAGGAAAACTGCGAAAGAGTATTGGATGGAAAAATCATTCGTTTTCTTGACGTTTTGGCGGTACATTTCCAGTGTCTTTTGGGCTCCGAGGAGGGAAGCATTGTTGCCAACGGCATTGCGCAACTGGTTGTTGTCGAAGCTGATCGGCGCAGGTGCTGGCTGAGGGTACGGCACGTTCAATAGCTCTGCGTATGATGCTGGTCTTGTTTCCGGAGACCTGCGAGTGCCTGACGGTGTCCGCATATGTGATCCTCCGGGCATCAGATTCGGGGATCGTCCTCTCGGGGCATAATCCGAGATGGCAGAGTAGGCTGACGAAGGACGCGGCATGGAGGTCCTTCTGGTAAACCCGGTAGGTGTCAGATGACGGTTGATGGGGGTTCCGTCAGCGTTGAGACTGGGGTTCGAAGAAGAACGACGAGCATCAAGCTCCTGGGGAACACTCGAAACTCGCTGGGGAGGGTACTCCTGATGGTGGTAGTACTGGAACATGGGGACAGAGTTGTTCTCTGGCAAGTTATCCTCCATGATCGAGCTCTCGGGAGACTCATCTTTGTATTCGGATGACTCGTTGATGCCAGAGACGGAGCTCGCGCTCGTTGTCGCGGAGGACTGTGCCGATGCTTGCTGTTGGGCGTTGCTTGAGGTAGTGGTGTTCGATTCCCGACTGTGGCGGTTGGCATCTTGAGCTCTTGTTGCGCTGTGAGCGCTGGAGCTGTCCGACCCCTGGGTCCCCCGCTTTGGCCTGTGACCCTGATCGTGGCCATTGTGGTTGGGAGTGAGGGAGCTCGCTGGACTCAGGTAATCGGGTTCGGCAGTGTAGGAGTTCGAGGTTTTGAGGGGAGGCAGCTTCGTCCTGTCATGGCTTTGCATTTGTCGTCCAGCCTGGTCGTAGGCCGAGGTATGCGAAGGAGGGGTAGAAGCGTTGTAATCTCGGGAACGATCAACTGTAGAAAACTCTGCTTGGTAGGGTTGTGCCAGTTCAATGTTCGCATTGGATGGCTGGGCCCAGTTCTCGGCTTGAAAGTTCACCCTGACAGGAGAAGCGGGAGCGTCCCGAATTCTTGCCGACACCGATTTGCGGCCGACGTCGTCGCCCAAAGTAAGGCGCTCGGGGGAAATGTGCTTTCGAAGATGGTTCGGGCTTGCAGTCGGAGTCATGACGGGCGGTGTCGGAGCCGTCGTGGCTGCCATTGAATCGTCGAAAGCTGAACAGCCGGGTATCCGAATGTTTTCTTGTCGCAGGGATGTCGAATGGTAGGCAGAGTTTGGTCCGACTATATTATGGTTGTTGCGTAAGCCCTATAGACCCCTTCTTTTTTTTTTGTTGACACAAAAGTCTTTTCTAGGACATGGACAAGAAAGAAGACGAGATTCTGGCCTCGGTGTTCGTGCGAGGTGTTTCTTCGTTGTGAGGGAGGCAAGGGGAAAGGAAGCGGTCGTTGAATGTGGGCTGGTTGTGTTTCTTCCTCGGTGTGCCGGATAGGAACGAATGACAAAGATGCGCTGGGAGCCGACTGAGACGTTGCGTAGATGAACAAACTAGAAACTGTAGACAAGGAGAAGAAAAACCAGATTAGTGGGAGCAACTCCAGGGGAGAAAAATGCCAAACCACCGGCGTGTATGAGTTAATGATCAAGTTGAATACTGGTAGGCATGGAGTTGAGGTTTTGGAAATGGGCCCTTGGCAGCGCAATGCGTGGTGCGTGGTGCGTGGCATGCTTGACTTGTTATGTAAGTCAAAGACGGGGGGGAACCTGGGAGACGAGAGGAAGAGGCGGAGGCAGCAAGCAGGCCGAAGCAAAGGAGTAGAGGAGCAACTCAGAGGATCCCTCCCACCTGAATTCCCGGAAAGAAGTCGCCCAGAGGGGCCAAAAGGGCAGTACGAGCATGGCCGCACCAGCGCCAGGCACACAGAGAGAGTCCAGGGCACCTCAGACTGCGAGAGACAGCCCAGCGCGGACCCCACAAGCACCAGCCCACCATACCCGCTCTCTCTCTCTCTCTCTCACCCACTCAACCCACTCGCCCACCCACACCAAGGAGGGATACACACAGGACAGTATACCCATTTCGTACAGTACTGCAGCAGACCAGGGCCCTGTTCAGGTTGGACTGGCGTGGGATGGGTGGGGAATGGTCAATGGTGCCTTGCTAGGGGGTGCGCCTGCTTCTGTAGCGCCTGGGAGCGAACAAGAACCAGAGGGACACTTGCGCCGAAGGAGGCCTAGCCTTGGCTGGTCGTGAAAGAGGGAGGGCTGACTCACAAACCAGGCCGTCCATTGACCAGTCCAGAGGTGTACGGGAACACGAAGGGGTGGGAGGACAGGAATAGCACCTCATAGATACAGTCCAGGGTAGGGTAAGGTTGTGACTGAGAAGGGAAGAGGCGAGAGAAAGAGAGACGCAGAATACGTACAGATTGAGGCAAGGTATCCCAGAACTAAGATAGTTCAAGTACAAGCTCTTGAGAATTTGACGTCGCCTACGTCACGTCGTTTGTGTTTCTGTAAGAAGTGTCGGTTTGTTTGCCGATGATCTTGAGTCTGAACAAGTACGGATGGAAAGTTAGATGGGTTGGAAAAGAGATGGCAGCAGATGAGCGATGCCCGAAATTCAGACAATGACAATAGAACGGACAAGGGGATGGCGCAGAGGCATGAATAATGTAGTTCAGCTTTGGGGTCTTCTTAGCCCGGGACCAACAATTCGTGCAGCAACCTCGGACGGACACAACGTGAGAGAGTCAGCACAGGGCTAATACCTCAGGTACTTGGATATGTTGGAGCAGAGCAGGGTCCAGGGCGGTCGGAAAGGGCGGCCAAAGGTATGCTGCGCAGGAATGAGGAAGGGCAACAGTGATGGAAGAGTAAACACCAACAGGGCCGGGTGCTGAAAGTATGTATTAGGAAAGGGTGTGAATGAGAGGAGGAAGAAGGAATAAGAATATGACGAGCATTCAAGATTGAAGGGATTGATGACTACTTCGTACGGATATGTGTGGACAGAGAGAAGCGAAAAGCAACGTCACGCAAGGCATGACGAGGAGAAGAAAAGGATGATGAGCCAGGCAGACAATGAGCCACGATAATGCCAAGCTTGGGAAGCCACAGCTGGAGCTGGGGTCGAAGCTGAACCAATTTAGAGTTGACAACCAAGATGAATCTCAGTACGGAGTATCCGCAGCCTTGCCGAGAGTGAAAACTTCCATTCAAGGTACTTTGGTTGTGTTGGCGAAAAGGAACAAAAGACGACCCTGTGGCTTCGGGTGCAATTACAACGGCCACGCTCATGCCTCATGCCCGCAGTTTGCGGGAACGTCAAGCGATGTGCCCCGCGGTCAGGTCCAATGACACCGACGGTGTAAATGGAGTGGCGCTCAATTCTCAATGCTCGAATTGCCGGAGGCAAGATTTGCATGGCGCCGAGTGGCTGTGAGGGAGCAACTCTGACGGCTTCTGGTGTGGACACGAGCCTCCAGCACGTTGTGTTAGGAAAGGCTCTGGAAGTACGGTACGAATACAATTGCCCTTATTGATTCCGATACAGACATTTGCGGCTTGCCTGCCATACACGGGATTTTGACCCACCGTCTTCTCATACCGCTCGATGGCTTGTGGGTGGCCAATAACCCAGCTGCCAGAAAGACGCGGCTCTGATGCAGTCGATGCGAGGGCGAGGTGGTTGGTAGCTTCTAGTGGAGGTTTATGATGATGATGGTCATGTCAAGAAAGAACTCATTGCCTAAGGCAGGGTAAGGTACAGATTCCATGAACAGATCGGCGCCGAGGTACTTTCTCCGGTGTATACGATTCACAAGTTCACAACCTGGAAGGCAGTTGCGGCCTCTCTGGACGGAAGTCGCACCTTCCTCGACCGACCAGATGGACCGATGCAACCTGCCCCGTGTTGTGCCCGTGTCCAACGTGCAGCTACTGCAGATGCATAGTACGGCCTGCAGCGGCAAGACGAAGAAAACGGAAAGAACGGTCAGGTAAGGTACTCCGTACCACACCAAACTAGAAGGTACGGATACGTACCGTGCATTGGGAAAAGCAAGCGTAAGGCAGCCGCCATGCCGCCCTGCAAGCAATTGCAAAGCTTTGTCGCTTCCTTCCAGGTCTGGGCTGTCTTTTCTTTCTCTGGGAAGGACCGGCAGGCAGGGCACGGTGTCACCGCCTGGAAACCCCGCGACTTCCATCTGCATCGCCAACTTCCATCGAAGTGGCAGAGACCTCACCAGTTCGGATCCACGTCCATCTTTCAAGTTTCGGCACACAGACGGACTAGATCCGACCGGAACTCCATCAACATCAATGCCAAGGGTTCCCCCCCGACCCCAGGCCAACATGGCCACTCATCTCGCCTCTGTCAAACCTGTCTTGCAACGCCGCTACGCTGTCATGTCACCTCCGGTCACCGCCTCTCCGCAGAGCCGGTACGGATAGGCAAGTCACTCCTATCCCAGTGAGCATACCGCCTGTTCTTGGGCCTTGGAAGACACAAGAACCCAAATAATGCAGGACAATTCTGCTCGCCGGGAGCGTGAAGCAAACCAGTGATCCTATCGGCTCCTGCAGCATCTCCTCTCAATGACACCAAAGCATACAGACATTGTTGGTGTCGGCTGCTCGAACTCGTAGCACGTAATTTGGGCTCCATCGCATCGCATCCCTTCTTTCTATTATTTGGCCTTCCTGCCTCTGGGCTCGACGCGCGTAGCTAATGAAGCAATGAAATCGTTCGTTTCACCTTGATCCGAAGGGGTGCCCAGCCTCGGCCTTCTCTTCGCCTCATTCTTATTAACGACCTCGCCCAACCCCCTATCCGCATCGGCACATCTGCCTCGACCAAGCATCCGCTGGGATATCCAAACGTGCGAGGCACGCAAACACCACCCTGAGGCTTGCAAAGATTCTTGTCTCCGAGATCCCTGTCCTCACCTCTACTGTGACCGTGTGACGGGCATTGGAGACCAGGATCCCGTCACCTTCCCCGCCGCACGACCCTGTGTAAAAGGAAGAACCAAAAGAAGGGACTTCAGGGTAGCCTCCACCATCCAAGGCCTGCCGCCTGCCAGAAGAACGGATCCAACATGATCCCCGCAGAAGAAAAGCAGTGAAGTTCGTTCGAGAACCCACTGCCGTCACCTCTGGCTACAACTAAGAACGGTTAGAGCACTTGAGACCGAAGCTACTCCCGCGAGAGATCTGCCTCGCGACAAGGCTCGATACGAAGGACTCTTTGCGCATCCCGCATTTCCCGTGTTCGTTTCGAAACTTTTCTGTGCGCACGCGGATCCCAAAGAGCAGGTAGCCTGGCATTTTAAACAACAGCTCATATGCTCTTCTCAACAGCTTAGAGGCATATGCCTTGATGAACTTGTTCGGCATCTGATGGTGCACAGCGCATGGTTGTCCAATTTTGGGCGTCTCCAACTTAAGCGTCTCCGCTGTTACATGAATATTCATGTGGATTCTACAGACTGGTCAGCCCCAGCGGTCGAGCGTCCCAGCGTGGGTCTGACGGCCGAATCGGCGAGAGTTCTGGGTCCTGGGTAATGGCCGCGCCAGACGACGACCCTGCAGCCGCTATTGAATGGAGGTCTGAGTCTGGAAAGGGGAAGCTTCGGGACCAGGGACAATCGCTAGTCCAACGAGAAGGGAACAGAAACCTCCAACAAGCACGCAAACCAGGCTGACGCAAGAAAACGACAAAATGGCTGCGAGTGTGAACTCAGAAGCGCCGTTGAAAGCGCCGCCAGACACCCAGCGCCTCTTCCCATTCTCCTCTAGACACCAGTCACACCTTACCGAGTGCAAGTTGACCGAGCGTTCGGGAAAAGCCTGGGATGGATTCCACAAGGAAAAGCGGGTGGTGCGGTTTTTGCTCGTCATGTGAGGCATCATCCCGCACGATGCTGTCGCTATCGCGAAATCGCATGCAGGGCATGGATGACCGGCTGACCGCGCCCCTCGTACAAGCAGAATAGGTTACCTTTGATCAGCACCGCAAATCCACCGTTGTGCATTGCCAAGTCGACCAAGCCCAGTGCTTCCCCCGAGCTGAAAAGCCCCTTTCCAACTTTTGAACAAGACTTTCCATCCAAAGGCGCTCTACCACTCTGAAGTACGCGCAGTGCTCAATACGCAACTGTCTCGACAACTACGGATATTGGAAATTCCATGGTCTCGCAACCTCAAAAGCCTGCACATTCGGGACCGCACACCTTTGATAGTATACAGCGTTGCTCCTCGAGAACACTGCATATTCTGCTTCAGTCCGGGGTCGATCATGTCGGTCCATGGAGCCCCGTCGTCCGTGGGTCCAACGTGAAAAGGCAGCGGCACCACGGCGGACATCGCGGATCTACAGCCACGACGTACGACGCAGCCACTGCAGCTTGTGGCACCAATCATGGTCGGTTTTCTTATTCCCCGCATGGCGCCTGTAGGCAGATTCAATTTGGAAATTAAGGACCCCGGAACCTTGGAGCTGGTTCTGCTAAGTGGCCATCGATTGGCGAGCCTCCTTTGCCGAACGAAAGCGCTCCAAAAGTTTTGATTCGTGCTTCGCTGTCGAGATGACGATGTGAAGTCTTCTGGGCTGGCTGATTAAACGGCTGAAGATCTTTGTATCAAACGGAAGGCAAGTACCACGTCTCTGAATAGAGCAGGATCAGCTACCTCTATGGTCAACTTCATCTTCCATCCGGAGCCTGGTGCGAATCTCATCAACGTTGTCGGTGCCAAATTAGTTGGGCGGTTTTGGCGCCAGGCTGAATCAGTTGGCCTTCCCCAACTGATGTCTCGCGTCAGTACCCGAGAAGCACTTTGGTTTACAAACATCTCGCCTCTTTTCTTCCCTCTCACGTCTAAGCATCGACAGCTACGGATATCTAGTCATCCCGGTGCCACCTGCTTGCCAAGCCCGCCAATAAAAGACCCAAGTTACATTTCTGTACGGAGTACGGATGTATTTGGCCGTTCGGTGCCAATTCAGTTCCCTCAACCCCAGGTCGGGATCACTAGCTCATCAATCTTCACCTGGGCTGAAGTTCTTTGGTCAAGGGTGACACTGGCCTGACAGCAGCCTTGTGGAAATGACCAGGTGCGGCAATAAGCTGGCAACCGTGCGAAAGGCCGTTGTAGCAAACCAGTCTATCCTGTCAAAAGTCCGGAAAAGCCACAGCCTGAAGATGCACTTAATTGCAACAAGGCCTCCCAGGAGCCACTTTGGCAAAACGAGGAGAGAGAACGAGTATGGCATGCTCCATGATATCAACAACACCTGGAATGCGTGCTGAGGTTGGTGTTTTGAGATGAGACATACAAAATTAAGAGCCTTGCCAGGTTCCCAGCGTTTCGATGTTGAGATGAGACCAGACGAAAATCCGTCTGAACTTCACCACGAACAGCTTAATTTCGACACCTCTATGATCTATCACCCTACAATCATCAGGTCTAAGGTGTCAAGTGTTTCTTATTCGACTGGCGGAGCTTCACGACGCCAACCAGAGACGATCTGCAAGCTGCCATTGTCCAATCTAAGCACCCGATCCAAGATACGGACATTCGTCCGTATAATTGCAAGGTAACACCCCAAAACCTAGAACCCACGATTCGCAGAAGTATCAAACTGACATCAGCCTGTGCATACACTACACCTAGAGCCCCATGCGGGTATGAGGCGTTTGGCGGCCACTCGGCAATAGTAGAGGGCATTGGTACGCAGAATGGCGATATGCGTAGGCTACCTTGGTAGGTGTGGATTTCACGATAACGATGCAGGGCTCCATTCCGAGGGAGGCTCAAAACCAAGTTTTTCGTTCCTAGTGGAGGCGGCAAAGAAGCGAAAAGCCAAACAGCGCCGGGGCCGCGGATCAGGATCGTGATTATCGCGCTGCCGCTGTTCTTGGCCAAGGGTCTCTATCTTGACAACTACTCCGTACGTACATAATACGGTGGCAGCTGCAAGGGCAGCAGATGCTGGAAACGAGCCGATAGGAGTGTGGCATGTAAACGATGGATTTCCTCGACATGGCGCGCTCGTGTACTTATCTAGCGGCCTACGACGACGATACTAACCGGTACGACAGGACAGCGGCATATGCGAAGGTGGAATTCCCATATCTAGTTGGAGGGCAGCATTCCTCGGATGGCTACGGAGTAGAGCCCCTTTGAAACAAGAAAAACATGACAATTCTTGGCCGTGTTATCCGTATGCGTTTGGCCCACCGCTAGAGTTCAATATCATTTGTGAACTCTGAGTCCCTTGACGACAGTTGAAGTCGCCGATGGCAGAAGAGTATCCGCATGCAATTGCCGTTGGGGAGAGGGTATTGATTGGACGCCTACGGTGTTTCCGAGCCCTGAAATGGGCAGTTATTCATCATCTCGGTACCAATACGGCTTGGACGTTCTCTGCGTCCTGTCTTGATGTCTGAAAATCTCGGTGCCAGCCGAGGAGGGTGACATCTCATCTCGAAATCCGGCGCTAGGAGCGACCAACGGCAATGAAGACTGAGAACACGAGGTGGCCAACTTGCCCTGTGTGTGAGCTGACTAAGAAGGTGCAGGGAAATCCGACCGCTCTCTGGTATTGGTAAAACTTCTTCCGGATACACAGTCGGTTGTCACCAGAACCGGCTTTGGCGGAGGTCGGGCGAGGCGCAGGCGCAGGCACACAGCGTAGAGCCAAGCTCTGAGATGCAGGTAAGCAAAGACAAACTCTCTTTCGGGTCTGGTGAACATTTCCGAGCTGCTTTTGGGGGCGGCTGGCCGGCTGGTCGGCTGGGCAACAGGGGCTTGAGCTCGAAAATAGCAACCCTGGTCCTGCATGCCGATCTGGTTTTTAGACTACCTGGTGTGGATAGCGAGGTGCGGATTCAAGCGCGTATCCAGGCAATACGTGAGTTGTGAGTGGGTGGGAGTGTCCATCAGTTCGTATGGAGTCCGTATTTCATCCGGCCCCCCGGGCTATCTTCTATGACGAATTGCAAAGTAAGTGGGCTATGGGATCATAAGTGCACTGATTCTGTTGTTGCAGAAAAGGGTCGACGCCATTGGGCCGTTGCGACAATATCAATGAGCATGGAACGAGAGCAATGAGTCGAAGCCGCCAAAGGATGTTTGAAAGCAGTCATTCGCGTGCCAGAAGAATGGCTGACTGGCGCCTCTGTCGTCAATGTTTGGCTTGTTATGGCCCTTACTCCGGATGTACTTGAGGGTACGTGGGCCAACTTCCATAGAGAGGCCGAGGTCCGGATACTTTGATGGTACTTCCGATGTACCCCATGGGCCAGAATTTAGTGCACCGGGTCTACCGCCCAAATCCCCCTGCCCCTCCGCTGAGGTATTGACCATGTCAAGCCAAACTCAATCTTTGCCCTTTTCCCATCAACTGGAAGACAACCCGCGGTCGAGCCGTGCGCAATGTCGTGGGGTTCGTGATGCCGACTAGAAGGATGCTAGACGTCTCCTGCGATCAATATATCTGCCCAATGGTGGCAGGTGCATTCGGATTTAGGGTAGCTCAGAAAGAGTCAAGAGAGACGATGTCGATATAACTGAAGTAAGGAGTACTTTAGTAGTATCATTGGCGAAGGAGACCCAGGTGCCAGCCACGCCAGACAGCAACGTAGCAACGCGAACCAGCCGTCCAGAAAACCAATAATACGAGATTTGGGTGAGGCGAGGGTGCTAGGCCATGTGGCGGTTTGGAACGCAATGGGACAGCCGGCGTGATGAAGGACAATACCTCATTCCAAGTGTGATTTCTATGGCTGGACAAAGTACCGACGGATTCTTGGACTAAGACGGCCTGCTTCACCGGACTCTCTTCTGATTTCCCCTTTCCTTGCTGGTCTGGTCTGGGCTGTCCCAAAGTAAATTCTCGGTGCCCACTGCCCTCGCTGATCGCCCATCATTGCCCATCCCTTCCTTCAAGACGCCCTCTTGAGTTCTTGAAGCCTTGAGAAAGCAAATTGTGTTGTGACTACTGGCTTGTCTTGTCGTCGGCCGTCGTTCCTCCCGAACATTTCGTTTCCTCGTCCGACGCTCAGTCTTGTTCCTTCTTACCACCTGTCACTTACCTTACCTTTCGCGCCAACCTTCGTTGTTCTTGGCTCTCGAAATCAGTCGACATTTGGAGTACGTCTATCCGTACCTACCTTCGTTTCCGCTCGTCTTGCGTCTGCAGAACCGAGATTCCAGCCTCATTTCCCGGCGATTCAAATTTGGCTACCCTGCCTTGCTCTGGGCACTCTAGTTACACTCTGGGCGATAGTCGCAACCTCAAGACTGACGACAAACTCTGCCCATTTCGATCATTGCCTCCCCCGAATCGGCTGACGAAGGAGGCAAATCAAGACGGACTGTGCGCACGATCGCATCTGTTGCCCCGGCTTCCTCGCTCGCTCCCATCATCCATCGCTCACCCTCCCAACAGGTGGTGCGCACTTGCCTGCACCCCGAACCCGCCTGTTTGTACTGTCGCGCAGCCAGTCAGTCAATCCTCTTGGGCTTTTCAATCATCGAAACAGTCGGTCGGCTCTTGGACCACCGGAAAAAAGATCGACATTGTTGCAATTGTTGCTGCTCAATCGTCGTGTCGGTTGCCATTTGGAAACCCTCTCTCTATTCCGCTGCACTTGCGACGAAACTTCCATCCGCTCTTTTCGTCCCTCCAATCCATCCAATTTAATACCTGCATAGCGGATAATCTTCTCGAATCGTTCCATCACCACTCCTTGACACGACTCACCACCACCCCTGGTCTCCAAGTAGTTGTGCAAGGTACCGAGTTGGAGCACATAAGCCGTGCGTCTCATTGCTTAGGGCCGCAAAAGCAACAGAAAGACCAGACAAGCAAGCACGCAGCAACCAGACGGGAAGAAAGACAAAATCAAAAAGGCAAAAGAAAAGAAGGATTAGGATCAGAGTCAGACTCAAGAAAAAGGAGGACAGACAGAAACGCAGCAACCACCCTTTGGACCGTTCATCGCTTGTTGAGTCTCGACCATCAGTGTAAAGGGCAAAACTGGGATTGCCCACACAACCACAGCCATCTCAGCTTTTCTTGCTTTGAGTTACCCGTCGGCACTGCGCAAAGCAACAAGGAAGCAAGCAAGTTGCAGTCACTCCGTGCTTGGAGAACAAGGACTCTTGAGACTCTTTGCTGGCAACTTCCTTGCTTGGCCTCGTTGTCCAGCTGTCACCCCCGACCTGCTGGCGCAGAAACAGAGAAAAGCCGGGTCGAAAATAGGGACGGCTTCCCCATTGATTCGCCGTCTCCCAAGGAACAACCACCCCCCCCCCGCTGTTGGCAGGGGTGCCAGGCCCAGACATCCACAATTCTTGCCTAGAGGTGCTTTCCTCCCCAATAACAACTCCTGTGAGTATGACCTCCCGCCAACGCCAACGACCTGCAACTGGCTGCTGTCTTTTCGCTGTTGCTGTTGCTGTTGCTGTTGCTGTTGTGGTTTCCTGATCTTTCACATTTGCTTCCCATCCCACTCAACACCGCATATCTGTATCTCCTCAGTATTTGCGTTTGATCCACTCTCCTCCCTCCCCTTACGAAAAGAAAACCGAGCTCGACTCGTTTTGTCGCCTGTTCTCTACTCGCGACAGATATTAGGCGCCTCTGTGGGAAGGGTGAAGTCTCCCTCCTCGAACAACATCTTTGCTGCCGCCGGAACCGGGTTCAGCTTCACCTCGGAATCGTTAGCTAACCTACATCTCCACACAGGACCATGTCTCTCCCCGAAAGGCCTGCAGCGACCTCTCCCTTCGAGAATAGGAATGCCTACAGAAACTCGCCGTCGCGACGGAACCGTCCGGACGATGTTGAGACTGGCGGCTACTATCCCGTAGGAGGGCGACCTCAGCACCAACGTGGGCAATCTGCGACATCTTTCCCTGAGACGATCTCAACTCCTAATGTCAATACAGAGAACCAGCCTCTATCCCCAACCCACGACTCGCCGGCTGCAGGACCCTCGACCGCCGATCAGCCTTTCACGAGAAAGAGAAGTTTGATTCGACCGGAGCGACACAGAATAGACAAGGACCATCCCAATTACTACTACCGCAAACATGCCGCCAACATGAACGTTCTGCCCTCGGCGACCGGAAACGATCCGATAGTCGAGGATATGGAAGGAACGACCGACGTTTCTGGACGCTCGCAAACGAACGACAACTTCTCGGACGCTTCACCACCGCGAGGAGTTAACAGCAGACAGAATAGTGGCGAGGAAAAGAAGGGACACTCCATGACCAAGGCTAAGCGCTTGAGTCGCCACAAGTCTGGCAAACTCATTAAGGATGGCAAGGGAAAGCGAAACAAGAACAAGCAGGTCGAGCAGATCCGTCCTCCGAGCTTCTGGAACGTCTACTGCGCCATCATCACCTTCTGGTGTCCAAACTTTATGCTGAAATGCTGTGGTATGGCCGCAAAGGAGCAGCAAAGAGCTTGGAGAGAGAAGATTGGCTTGATCAGCATCATCTTGCTCATCATGGGCTTCGTCGGTTTCCTCACTTTCGGTTTCACCCAGGTTGTCTGCGGAACCCCGCCGCCGCGCCTTCAGGTCAACGATGTGGATGGGGGATACATGATCTTCCACGGAACGGCCTACGATTTGACGCGCTCCCGTCACCCTCCTGCCGATGGCGTGCCCATGATTAATAGGACCACCGGCGCCAACGTCTTGTACGACCTGCCTGAGAAGAATGGCGGAAAGGACGGCAGTTTCTTGTTCCAAAACGTCAATGGTAGATGCAAGAACCTCATCACCCTGGCCGACAACTCGGATGTCCCGACGAACAGCAATGGTGACCTGGCGTGGTACTTCCCTTGCACCGTCTTCAACCAGGACGGCTCTTCGAAGCCCAACCTTACAATCCCTTACTACCTGGGTTATTCCTGCCACACGACGCAGAAGAGTCGCGATACCTTTTACTTGGAATTGGACGGCACCGCCGATGTCTACTTCACGTGGAATGATATCAAGAACAGCTCCCGAAACTTGATTGTGTACTCTGGCACTGTCCTCGACCTCGACTTGCTCAACTGGTTTAACACTACCCAGGTCAAGGTCCCTGATCGTTTCAACGAGCTCAAGGACAAGACTACAGCTGTGAACAAGGCAATTCGCGGACGGGACGTTACCAGAGCGTTCCAGGCTTCGGGCGATAAGCAGATTGCCGAATGCTTCGAGGAGATTATCAAGGTCGGATCAGTCGATACTGAGACCGTTGGCTGCATCGCATCAAAAGTCGTTCTCTACGTCTCCTTGGTACTGATTCTCGCGGTCGTGTTGACGAGATTCGTCCTCGCTCTCTTCTTCCAATGGTTTATCAGCCGAACGTACGCCGCGGCTAAGACATCTCAGACCAAGGACAAGCGCAAGCGTAACCAACAGATTGAAGACTGGTCTGAAGACATTTACCGCGCACCTCCCAGACTGCCTGGCGATATCGGAAGCAGTGTTAACGGCTCTTCTGACCGGACGAGCAAACGTCAGAGTACCTTCCTGCCCACAACGTCTCGGTTCTCCGCAGCCTATGGAGCTGGCGCAGCCCCGCAAGCCGGCGGACGCAGGATGCCTACTACCATGGCCAGTTCAGGTGCTGGCAGCAACATGATGTCCTCCAACGCCATGTACCGACAGGGCAACGACAGCCGCACCAGCTTCCTTCGCTCAGACCCCTACACGGGCAATGTACCCTCAACCGAAGGTCCTGGGCCTGCTGGCTTCATTCACGAAGCTGTTGTGCCTCAGCCGCCCGCCGACTGGATGCCCTTTGGTTACCCTCTTGCCCACACCATGTGCCTTGTTACCGCCTACTCTGAAGGTCACCTTGGTATCCGGACCACTCTTGATTCCATCGCCATGACCGACTACCCCAACAGCCACAAGGTTATCGTCATTATTTGTGACGGTATTATCAAGGGCAAGGGCGAGACCATGTCTACTCCTGACTACTGCTTGGCAATGATGAAGGATCACACCATCCTTCCCGAGGAAGTCGAACCCTTCTCCTACGTTGCGGTTGCCAGCGGCTCCAAGCGACACAACATGGCCAAGATCTACTCCGGCTTCTACGACTACGGCAACGAATCTGCGATCCCTCTCGAGAAGCAGCAACGAGTTCCCGTTCTTCTTGTTGTCAAGTGCGGTACACCCGATGAGGCGACGAAGTCAAAGCCAGGCAACCGTGGCAAGCGTGACAGTCAGATCATTCTCATGTCTTTCCTCCAGAAGGTCATGTTCGATGAGCGCATGACAGAGCTCGAGTACGAAATGTTCAACGGTTTATGGAAGGTCACCGGTATATCGCCCGATTTCTACGAAATCGTTCTCATGGTCGACGCCGATACCAAGGTCTTTCCCGACAGTCTGACGCACATGGTCTCTGCCATGGTCAAGGATCCCGAAATCATGGGTCTATGCGGTGAGACGAAGATTGCCAACAAGCGCGACAGCTGGGTTACCGCCATTCAGGTCTTTGAGTACTTCATCTCCCACCACCTGTCCAAGTCTTTCGAGTCCGTCTTTGGCGGTGTCACCTGTTTGCCCGGTTGCTTCTGCATGTACCGCATCAAGGCGCCCAAGGGAGCCCAGGACTACTGGGTGCCCATCTTGGCCAACCCGGACATTGTTGAGCATTACTCTGAGAATGTGGTTGACACCCTGCACAAGAAGAACTTGCTTCTGCTCGGTGAGGATCGATACCTGACAACTCTTATGTTGCGGACCTTCCCCAAGCGTAAGCAGGTGTTTGTTCCCCAGGCCGTCTGCAAGACGACGGTGCCTGATTCTTTTGCCGTGTTGCTTTCACAACGTCGACGATGGATCAACTCGACGATCCACAACTTGATGGAACTGGTCTTGGTCCGTGATCTTTGCGGTACCTTCTGCTTCAGTATGCAGTTTATCATCTTCATCGAGCTCATGGGAACTCTCGTCTTGCCCGCCGCCATTGCCTTCACCTTCTACGTCGGTGAGTATTTACAGTGTCCATTTTGTTTGATATCAGCTAATGATTGCTCCAGTTATCATCTCCATTGTCAACTCGCCTCCGCAGATCATCCCCTTGGTTCTGCTGGCTTTGATTCTTGGACTTCCTGCTGTGCTCATTGTCTTGACCGCACACTCCTGGTCATACGTCGTGTGGATGATGATCTACCTCTTCTCGCTGCCCCTTTGGAACTTTGTCCTTCCCACGTACGCGTTCTGGAAGTTTGATGACTTCTCCTGGGGAGACACCAGAAAGACAGCCGGCGAGAAGACGAAGAAGGCCGGTCTCGAGTACGAGGGCGAATTTGACAGTAGCAAGATCACAATGAAGAGATGGGCCGAGTTTGAGCGCGAACGCCGGACGCGCAACAACTACTGGGGATCCAAGGAGAACGTCGTCGGAGGTGGCAACACCTGGTCGGCGCCGCTGGGCCACCAGTACCAAGACGAGTACTACTCTGACGCATAAAAAGCAAAATCACACACGGGGCCGGGCGTTTTTCTGTTTCAAAGCATGAGGAATATACTTAACTGGGGACTTTTACGAAAAGGCGCATATCATCACATGAGGCCTCTTTTTCACTTTCTGATGATGAACCAAAATGGGGAGGAGGGATGAGCATTGCGTATAATTGAATGGCTCGGCCAACTTGTAATAAAGGAGAGAGAAGCCGGGTGGAGCGGAACTGTATTGACACTGTTATTTATTGCCGCAACTTGAAGCTTTGATTTTTGCTGTCATGTCGTGTTCCGTATTGTTTGCATATCCGTGTTGCCTCACAGTGTCCGTTCCGTTAGTGAAGAGGCGAATGTGGCTATTTGAAGAGTTGTATGGAGGCCACCGCTCCGTACTCGAGATGGAAGACGTCTAGTCTCGTAGGCGTAGATACATCGTCACGGACCGATCGCCTCGGTTCGTGAATAGCATTGGAATCGCGGATTGGATAGTCTCATTCCTGAACATCGATTCAATCTGCTCGGTCAACTTTGTTAATATGAACGCAGTAATCCTTGCAAATTATCGGAAAGGAGGAAAGGAGGAAAGAAGGCAAGGTTTGCGAGGCATCATCCCACCCCTCCAATGTCACTATTGTCATGAAGTGCCCTTGAGCCTTGATCTGCAATGACTCGGCCGAGAGAACCAATACGATACCGTTTATTTATTCATCAAAGTTGCCAAGTCGGGCGTTTGTCACATTATGGAAGGGGGAGAGGGGGCCAGATAGACCCATTCATACACACTACACCATACGCACGCATATCCATACACTCCTCCCACACACACAATGTTGGAAAAGAAGCAGTAACGGGCGTAAGTGTCGTGTGACCTCGCAGCGGGCTGTGATTTGACGGGACAATGAGTTTTTGGTGTGCGAGGTTTTGAAGAGAAGCATAGAGACAGGACAGAGGAAGGGAGGATGAGAAGGAGGGCCAGCAGTTCTTTTCTCCTTTCTCGTTCCTCTTCTTTTTTTTTCTCTACCTGACTCCCTCCTCCGTCGCCCCATCTCGATGTAGTGTGAGGCTTAAGTATGATGGTACTGTGGTCTAGATGAGTGGTGTCAAGCCGAAGCATGTTTCCCGGGCCAGTTGACTGTTGCTCGAATCTGGGTGTGTCCACTCTCCAACACCACCGACGAGCGATGCTCACTAAACACAATTTTGCCTCCCATCGCACATGGATGCGGCGGGATGGGCAAGGGGTAAGGGGAGGGGAGGTTGGAAATGAAAACAAAACACGGGACGGATCTTGTTAGTAGGACCAGTACGACCAGGTGTGGGTGAAATCCCGGTAAACCGGTGAGATTGTGGAGAAGGGAAAAAAGGGGGGCCTCCCGCCGACGGGAACGGACGGACGGACTGGAGTGAGAAAAGATATGATGATCAACCCGAGGAAGAAAAGGATGTTCTAAACACCACACAGACTTTGGACGGGGGGGCGGGCAACGGCGGTTGATATTGAAGGCGATGACCGGAGAGAGAGAGAGAGAGGGGGGGGGGGGCGGCGCAAGAAGGATACAATAGCTGCAGGTAGCCGAGACATTGGTCCTTCCCAGTTTCTCCCGTGGCACTTTGCATTTTACCATCTGCAAGTGTCTCTCTTCTTTGCTTGGCCGCTCGCATTCTCACTCGCATCTCTGCAATGTCTCTGGGTGCGTTATTCGCGGCAACGGTGCGGGTTTTGCTTGTCGATTGACGATTTTGCGCACGGCCTTTGGCCTGCCAAGTCTCGCCGGTGGGATCGGGAGGGACTGGAAGGACTGGATCTCCCCCCTTCAGGCTTCACCACTCTTAAATATTTCTTTTACCACCTCATATCCGGCGTGGTTGTGGGATGGTCGTATGCTTCTACCCGAGGCGCAGGGGCACGAGTTTGGGTGGTAGCTTGTTGTGTCGGTCGTCCAGGTGTGACCTGGCCCTGGATTTGCTTCCAGCCCTGAATACCCGCCACTCGAATTATTCAGATTTCGAAAGTTTAGAGGCCACGAAACGAGACGGATCCGAGTTCATGAGCTGGAGCGTCGATGACAAGTACTACTTCTCTTTCGACATGGGTAGATGAGGTCGGCAAAGAAACGGCTAGTAAGCACGAAGAACGGCCATGTCGAATCCTGTTATTGGCAAGGTTTCCAGACCTCCAGTTTGCCAACGTGCCGTGCATCGTCTGAGGATACGGATACAGAATGTGTCTTCAACAGGGTCGGCCGATGGCAATGACAGGATGCTGGTCTCTGACGCTCTTGATTTGTTCAAACCTCCCAGCTCTGGCCATCGCACCGCACGCACTTGCTGGAATATCCTGCTTGCTGACGGAGAGAAGTGATTTGACTGGAGCCGACAGGTCTTGTGCACTCGCATGTAAGCACCAAGTATTAGTATGTGCGAGAAGCGATAATAGCCCTCCCTCCCCTGCTGTTCCCCAAGTCACTGCTTACACAGCAGGCAAGGGACCGGGCAGGCAGAGACAACGGGCAATGTCGAGCGCTGGAAAAAGAAAAGAACTGCGGAGCTGATGACCGGAGTCATGGAGGAAATGGGTTAGCAGTGGGAGGTTGAAACTCGGGGAGCGCATGCTGTCGAATGTGACTTATCATCCCCCAACGGTCCTCCTGTCACGCGCGCGTGGTTGGGGCCCTTGGGGGTGGGCTCCGATGGTCGACGGGCTGGCAGGGAAGTTGGAGGATCCGGATGCAGTCGGGCTCTTTCGGTAGGTCGATGCGGCTTTATAAATCCTGATGAGGTTGCAGCCGGGTCACATGTTGGGTAGGATGCTGGATTCCCGGGTTATGTCAGCTTCTATAGGTGTGCCTGGGCGAATGCGTAGCCAAAGAATATATCTAGTTGATGCTCGTTGGATGACTCGGGACGTTGCAACTTGCGAGGAAGTCTAAGCAGCGCTAGCTGTCAGTTCTACTGTCTACAACACCCATCGACCGACCCATCGATGCTCTGCACACCTGCTTGTAACAAGGTAGCGAGCGGGGAGTAAGACCGACCACCAAAGGGCCTAAGACCTTCACCCATTGTCGCAGCTGCCAGGTCACAGGTGGCAGTCGGTGAAGGTCTAGTCATTGGCCGTTTTCCTATTTCAACGACTTACATGAGTGGGCTAGCATCCCGGGATGCCCAGACCCGAGGGGCCCCAGGGCCAGAGACAAGCCCCGGGTGACAGATCACATCGCACGTATTCGAGACCGGGCGAGGCACTTCAGAGATGCGATTTTCGTCAAAGTCGAATATGACTGACACAAGGTGATCGTACGAGGTGAGCAATGCCAGATGGAGGCCTGGCACGCCTGGTAAGCCGGAGGAGGGAGGCGCAGAGGCTGAACACGAGAAGCGCCGGGTTGAGATCCTTTTGAAATGGCAAAGATGGGCCATCGGATTGCGACCGGTGGATGATTGGATCTCGGGGTAGGATCTGCGGTGTCGAGGAGGCTTGCGGCAGGTCAAAGGTTTATTCGCGCACTAGAATGAGGTCGGGACGCCATTGTCAAGGTGGGTGGCTTCTCTGAGTCTGCTCATGACCAACTAGTGCAGTGCGAGAGTCAGTTTGAATCGAAGCCGTTGGATGCCATTGCTGACCCGTCACAACGGCACCTCGGCCGTGACGTCAGGCAAGCCACAAAGCTGAAGGAGCAGTGCAGCATTGCAGGCCCTTGAGGCCCACGAGGGAAATCCGAGAATGGCACAAAACATGTGCGGTGAGGTGAGGTGAGGTGAGGTGAGTTGATGTGTGTGGGGGGGGGGGGGGGGGGAGTTGGAATGAGCCAAGGGCATCTCCATCTTTGCCTTCATCGGGCGGGACATCCGTATTGTTCAGCATGAAACTGAACGCACTTCCCTGGCTGCCTTCTACTTGCGGCGACTTGCTTCGTCGAAGACAATCTTTTGGGAAGCAAGCCAGCAAGGCACCCTTCTTGTGCGACATGAGGTGGCAGGACGGGAACGTGAAGCTGGCCAAGTAGGGGCTCCCGTCCAGAGCGGCAGAGCGGTACTTTACTCATGCGTGTTCGGCCTGTATTCGTAGCAAAGGTGCAAGGCAGTCCCAAGGAGCCAGTGGCCCGGCGTGCCAGCCTAGCACACGCACACCATTCTCTCGTCAGAGTCAGCCATGCATATGATATTGGGAGGTGGCGTCCCATAGCATCGCTCGTTGCGAGGCAGCTCATGCCCAGGCGCTCTCCAGACCCAGCGCCCCCTTTTACTCAGCGGTTCGCTCCCTCGTTCTCTGCTTCTGATGCAAAAGGTGAAGGTGAAGGCACAGCTCCTGCTCGAGGCCGAGTGACCTCCAAAAGACAAGACAAGACAAGACCGGGACCGGGGTCCACGTCGGCAGGAGTAAGGACAAGGTTGGCTGGTGAGAGTGGGTGTGCACCCCCGGCATCTGTGTGTGGAGATGTCGCTCGCCATTGCTATTTTGCTCCTCTATTCGTACGAAGGGCTTCTCATCAACCCAAGCTCAGTCACAATGTCTCGCTTGTCGTTCCTTTGAATGCCACTCGACTGCTGTGGCTGAGGCATTGTTGACAATTCCAGCTCTGTGGATGTCATCTCAGGAATGAAGCCATTGAGGCAGCAAACCGCATCGAATCTGGAGAACAATAGCTGGCATACGTACTCTGTGGTCGGAAGGGAGAAGGTCCGCACACTGTAGATACCTCAAAGTAAACGTAAATGTACCAGGTTGTGGCCGTGAAGGGTGGATGGGTTGGTGGTTCTGCTCATGCAGCGTCTGCAATTGAACTTATGCTTGGTAAGAGTAGTAAGGTAAAGTTGGTAGACAGTAGCAGAGCTGAGGGATCAGACCCTGTCACAGCACCCCGAGGATGAAAGACCGAAGGTTTATCGACTTAGATTTAACCGTGAGTACCTGTGGCGTGGTGCATGATCCATGTGAGATCAAGTATCTTTCCGTGTCGAGAAAGTACCAGACCTATCATGCCTTGATGTAAGCGTGGGAAGGTGGTGCCTGCCCAATCTGCCCCAAAGGGGTTCAGTTGCGACTCAACCAACTCGCCGCCTCGCTGCAGTTCCTTCCCTGTTGGCTGCTGCGTAAGGTACCTTAAGGTAAGTGTGCCTGCCTGCCAGGTGCTGCTGTGCCGGGCCCGGCTGAGGTATCTTAGGTATGTACTCCGTACTGCCCACCCGACCTCACCTGCCCTGCTCCATTTGGTTGGCGCGCCTTTTATTTTTTGGATTTTCTACCGAGTATTGTCCTTTGCCATTGCCTTTGCTACGGCCTGCTTGCCAACACCAGCGCCAACACCCACCCATCCACCCGGCGCTCCCATAATACTTGGTGCACACTATCGGAGTTGTCCTCCCTTGTCGTTTCCATTGGAATCCCAGCCAAAGACATCCCGCTCGGGTCCCAGTCCCGCTCCCGCCTTACTACAACCCTACGGAGTACTGCTGGACTCGATCTCGCCGCCTCTCCGCCTGACCGCATTCCCAACCCAGTACCAAACTGCCACCAGCAATCGTCCTCATCTTTCCCATTCACTCGTTCATACGACCGCCTACGACCGCCGACGACCGCCCCGACGAGCACTCTCAATCTCTGCACCTTTCTCGCACGTTGGCTGTCCAGTGTGCACATTGGCGTCCGTCATTTGCTCGAGCTCAACTGCAGACACAAACCCTCTACTGTTACCGCCTTCAGTAGAGACGTTGCACACCGTTCTACATCGGCGCCGCTTGGGACCAAGTGTGTTTGATTTGGAAGGAAAAGGAACAAGAGACGGATCTTACACAAGTCGCACGCCTGACTGGCAATACTGACTGCTGCCTTGTCCACAGAGGTGTTGGCCCTGGAGGGAGACAACCGTCATCTTTCCATTCGCAGCCGCAGCCGCAACCACAAGAGAAGACGCATCTATCCGACCCGACCGCGGGTATTTCTCCTTGTTGTGCAGCAACGCTCGATGTTCTTCGATCGGCCTTCACTGGCTACGGCATACACTTGAAGACACCACAATGCGACCGAGAACTTCAGAAACGGCTTCCCAGCCTTCTCAGGCTCAGGCGGCATCCGTTTCCTCAAACCATCACCAAGCCCTCGGGTCCGCCCCGCCGCCAGTCGATGCTTACTCCGATCAGCAAGCACAATACCACCTCCACCGCGAGCCCAGCCAGCAACAACAACAGCCTCACGATCCGCCGACACATGGCCAAGCCGCATACTCTTCTCACAGCCAAACCTTCCCCGTGATACCCTCATCCTACTACCACGAGCCCGGCTCATTCATACACGACGACTACGACGACTACGAAGACTATGACGACGACGACGATGTGGAGGATGAGGATGACGACCTAGACATGAGCGACAGCGACGGAGGTGCTCCCTTGGATCATGTAATGACAGTAACCAGCCTTCTGTCTCCTCCCATGTCCGACAACGAGGCCGGAATGGACCAGACTCAGTCATTTCCTGGGAATCATCACTTCGAGCACCCCGCACATCCGTCACAAGAGCAACACACGTCCACGGGGCCGCCTGCTCACATGGTCAACTACTGGAACATATCTATTGCAGCCGGGCATGCATTTCTCGATCCGATAGGAGTTCATCATCCCACCCCGCTTGATACGACTCCTTTTCATCCCATGCTTCATGCTGGAGCCATGGATGATGACGACGATGATGATGTCTTCTACCCACCCGTTGCCGAGCAGCTTCAGCAGTTCCAAGCAGTGATTACCAACGAGGACGATATAGCTTGGGAAAACGCAGGTCCGCCTGCCCTCAGCAATCCCAACCCAAGCACCCTCGGCCCAGAGAATCCTGGCCTAACCGACTTCCTCAAGGGCTGGGCGTGGCGTAATGGTTTTCAGTCTCGAGGGCCTAGCCCTGGCATTCGTCAAATCAATGCACAGGTCTCGCGGGATGTCACGCGTGTGCGATACTCGGAACTGGAGGGCGACGCATGCGACGCGCAGGGCATCGACTGGGAAGCCTTGGGGGTGACACGCAAGAATGCTCGAGAACGGAGATGCCTGGACTACAAGAATTACACCAACAGGACAGATTCAGATATATGGGCTGTAAGTCGCCTCGTGGAACAATGCAAATCCGAAACTGTAGCTAACACGAACGTCACAGCCCCATTTACCAGACAGGATTATACGAAATACCGAAGATTTCTTCAGGTTTCGTCGCATGGAAATCCGTCAAAACGTTCATCTGGCTCATTTTCAGCTGCGCAACATCCTAGCATGTTCTGGACGCAGCCACGCCTTCTACCCGGGTCAGCGAGCCGTTCACCAGGTCAACCCTGTGTCTGGCGAAAGCGAGGTGGCTATGGATCTCAACGACATGATCGGTGTCCAAATTTCAACTTTAGATGCTGACTGCGGCATATTGATTGCGGGTACTTTCAACGGAGAGTACTGTATGCGAAACATTTACAGTCAGGACAAGAAGTACACCGAGGGACAAATCACCAGCCACGTAAGTGGCATAACCAACCATTTGCAGATCCATGCTTCGAGGAACTCGTCCTCACCGCTAGCCGCCTTTGCGTCCAACGACCAGGGTTTCCGTGTCATGGATGTGGCTACCGAAAAGTTTGTTCTGGACACGCAATACGGCTGTCCAATTAATTGTTCCGCTCTGTCGGCTGATCGTCGTTTGCGCGTAATGGTCGGTGACAACTACAACGTCCTGATTGCAAACGCGGACACCGGTGAAATCTTGCAAGAGCTGGGAGGCCACCGGGACTTTGGGTTCGCGTGCGACTGGTCAGACAATGGCTGGACCGTTGCCACCGGTTTCCAGGATATGAGCGTGAAGCTTTGGGACGCTCGAATGTGGACCAACTCGGACGGTACCAGCAAGCCACTCACCACTATTCGCTCCGAGATGGCAGGTGTTCGCAGCTTGAGGTTCTCTCCTACAGGTAGCGGCCCTCAAGTCCTCGTCGCAGCCGAGGAAGCCGACTATGTCAACATCATCGACATTCAAACTCTAGCCCATAAGCAGTCTTTCGATATCTTTGGGGAGATTGGAGGTGTCGAGTTCACCAACGATGGCCAGGACCTCAACATTCTCTGTATGGACCGGACTCGCGGAGGGCTGGTACAACTGGAGCGTTGCGACATAGGATCCAGCTCCGACTTTGAGTACGCACATCAAGCTGCGGCCTTGGACCCTTGGTGGAGGCCTAGCCACAGCGGAGTATTATTGTCTGATGCAGAGATGGTTCAACCGAAACTATCGGCTCAGCGCGAAAGAGGGTACGACCTCTTTGATGACTTGGAGCCTTTCTGAAAAGATCTGATACCCCACTTGTTATCATCTGCATCTACCAACGCTGGTCCCTTCGGGAATACATTGGTTGCTCTCCGGCGGCGTTTTTGGCGTTGTTTCGGCCACCGTGCCGTGGCAACATTGGTCAACTGGGCGTTTTATTTCGAGCTCTACCTCGGTTTTCAAACTTTGGATCGACCCGTACTCGATGCGTGTTTGATATATAGACAGTGCCGGTGCCCTGGGGCGCTGGCCTTGGGAAAGACGGTCGGGAAAGCTTTTCCAGGGTCCGAGACTTGACAAGCATCTTCTTTTCCTTTTCCTTCTTCATCTTTTGCAATTAGCACAGCGTAGTCACTGTTCATACTGCATGGAGGATTACTAACGACGTCACGGAGGAGTGGTGGGGGAGGTTAAGGGGGCAGGACATCGGTGTCTCCTGGCTTTTTTGTCCATGGGTTTCTATCTTGGACGTGTAGAAACCGATGTGGGTTTTCCTGGTTGCATTACTTTTCGGCACGGAGGGACATGCGGATACACACTGTTACATCTTTCTCTTGACATGATGGATGAAAAACCTTTGGAACCTGGATTCTTCAGCATTTTGGCTTATCATATTCTGGGGAGTTGGCTGTTTTTACATACTTGGTTTATTTACTAGATTCATGAAAGGCAAAGGGGAGAGGGGAGATGGGATTAATCCATATGGAAGGGCGATGTGGAGGAGGAGGCGGGCGGAATATATCCCGATAAAGACGTTGACGAAATACCACTTTTCATGACCTTGCCTGGTTCGTTTGTGCACTATCACTCTCTGTGAACTTTTTCTTCCCTACCCCCTTTTGTCTTTGTTGGACACTACGTAGGCACATAGGGTACGTAGGGTACGTAGGGTACGTAGGGTACGTAGGGTACGTAGGGTACGTAGGGTACGTAGGGTACGTAGGGTACGTAGGGTACGTAGGGTATGCGAAACGTTGTAGCCAAAGTTTATTTCACGGACCAACAGTTCGGACGAGAACATGGGGTTGTGGTCAGGGACAAGTGCAACGTCATGTTACAGACGGACTTTTTCCCCTTCCAACGTTGACATTGACAGTTGATAGCCCCCCCTCGCAAGAAGACAGAGATAGAGAAGTGTGCTGAAGAGGCAGTTATAGAGCTCTTGTCAGGCTTGGTAGACATGTGGATTAGACCTGAGGACGAATGTGAATGGAAGAACGCATGAGAATTACTATTGAGGGCACGCACCAATAGCCGGTCACCATGCAGAGTTGTTTAAATATGTAGGTAAGAACTTGGCCTACGCTCCTGTACAAGGATCAAAATAGAGCAAATATATATACATACACAAATAATTAAGCTATAGGCAATACATATATAAATTTCGAAACCGTAGGGAGGGATCACTTGAAAGTCCTCTGCTGTTTGGGGCGTGGGGTATCCGATTGTCATTGTACACTTGATAGGGGAAACGTTGCAAATCGTCTTTGTGGAAAAGAAGGGGGTCTTTTTTGTCTTATCTGGATTCATGGGTTACACCTCAAGGCAACGTCGGAGGGAGGTTGGTCTCTTTTGTTCAAATGCCGAACGTTGAAATTAGAAGTAATTGGGAGGCTATCCTTTTTGTTGGTATCGATTTCCTTCTTGTTCCTGTCTCGTGATGCTAGTCTCTTAAAAGGAGAAGAGATCACCGCAGCCCCAGGTGCGCTCGCAACCGCAGGAGCCGGGGTCCTTCCACTCGTCGTTGCGGAAAGAGAAGAAGACAGTCTTATCACCGGCGAGCTTCTTGATGGCGGCAATGGCGGTGGTCTGCTCGGCGGTACCGGGGCAGGCCTTACCGTTGCAGTTACCGCCGGAGGGCCATCCGCACTCGAGGTTGTAGGCGGGCTTGGTGCCGCAGATCTGGGAGCTCTCGAGGAGGTCAATCTGGCCCTTGACGAAAGTACCGGCGTCGCCGGCGGCGGTCTCAGCGTTGAAGTAGGGGTGGATCTGACCTCCGACAATGTCGATGACGTCGCAGATCTCGGAGATGACATCAGACTGCTGCCAGACGCCGACGGTCTCGGCGGTGGTGTAGGGACCAGTGTAGCCAGCGGCGGTGATGGAGGCCTTGGCGGAGACGATGAGCTGCTTCAGGGAGCTGGCGGAGCAGCGGCCCTGGAAGATGCACTCGTTACCGATGACGACGAGCTCGACCATGCCCCACTGCTTCCAGGCGGTAATGGCGTCAACCTGGTTCTTGATGTCGGCGGAGTTGGGGTCGCAAGACTCCTTGACGAAGATACCAATGATCATCTGGAGACCGTACTTCTTGCATGCGGCACCGACGTTCTCGAGGGTGCTGCAGTCGGTGGAGTAGACACGGACGGTGCGGAAGCCAGAGTTCTTGATGACGGAGATATCGGCATCGACCTGGTCGGCGTTCTTGCAGGATCCAGAGGCATCCTCAGTGAAGGGAGTGTAGGTGATGGCCCAGTGGTCACCCTTGTCGCCTCCGAGGCCACCGGTGGCGGGGGCAGAGGAGGAGGGAGCGGCAGCAGAGGAGGTCTTGGCCGAGGTGGGAACGGGCTCGGGGGTCGCAACGGCGGAGGTCGTGGGGACGGGAGCAGGAGCCGGAGTGGTGGGCTTGGCAGCCTCGGTGGTAGGCGCAGGCTTGGGGGCCTCAGTGGTGGGCGCGGGAGCCGGGCTGGAAGGAGCAGGGACAACGACCGAGCTGGTGGGCTCAGGGTTCTGGCTGGTGAAGGGGCAGACAACGACGACGCTGGTCTCGGTGATGGTGGTCACGACGGGAGGGCGGACGTAGGTACCGGGGACGATCTCGGTGACGACGGGGTAGACGCAGGTGGCCGGGGCGGTCACAGTCGTGGTGGTGGGAGCGATCGTGTAAGTGCCAGGAGTGGGGCAGACGTAGGTGGTGGTCTCGACGACGCTGGTGACAACACCATCCTTGGTCTTCTCGGTGGCGTACGGGCAGACGACGGTGGTGGCATTGACAACAACGGTGGTGACACCACCGATTGTGTGAACACCGGCAGGGACCTTTGTGGTCTCGGGAGCGCAGACGGTGGTGGTCTGGTTCACGGTGATGGTCGTGGCCGGGAAGGTGTAGGTACCCGGGGTAGGGCAGAGCTCAGGGACCGGAGTAGGGACGGGCACCACGGGCTTCGCGGTGGACGTGGGCTTCTCCGCGGGCTTGGTGGTCGCAGGCGCAGGCGCCGAGGGAAGGGCACTGGCGACGGATTTGCTGCTGGGCTTGCTGGGGGGGTTAGGAACCACTGTTGATCGTCAGGTCAGCCACGAAGATCGATACAAGCTTCATCCGCCTCCACTCCCAAGGCTCTGTAGGGCTACAGAGTGAGATTGCTCTGACTGATGATAACGGATGACAGTGTAAGTGGGAGAGAGACATACGCGTAGCCTCGCCGTAGATGGTGGTGTAGATGGTGGTGCAGCCGGGAACACAGACGGAGGCCTGGTCAGCGCCTCTCTTGAAGAGGTCGGCGTGGGCGTGACGGTGAGCAACGGCGGTGACACCGGTGACGGTCGCGGCTGCGACTGCGAGGATGGAGCCCTTCATGGTGAATTAAGTTGCCTTTTTTTTCTTTTCTTGAGTAGGGGGAATTGAGTATTATCGACTTTGGGAAGCGAGTGCCCGCTAAAAGAGTGAAGCGGTAGTGAAGGTTTGCGCGCGTAGAGACGAAAGGGACGACGAAACTACGTTGACGGTATCAACTCATTTGACGGTGTTTTCGTAAGGAAAGGAAAAGGGAAGGAGAAAGAGTAGGAAAGAAACTGGCGGGACCGGGATGTTATTATTGTGATGGTGGTTAGATTAGGTAGAAGGCTAGTATCCGTACTTTCATGGGTACGACCGTGAGAAGTTTAGCATGTCCCCTGGGGGGCCCTGGGCCGGGGTGTGTGCGCGACGGTGTGTGTGCCCACTTCCAGATGGATGAATGGACCAAAGTGCGGGCAGGCTAGCGTCCAATGACCTTACATTGGATGGCATTGGGCCATTGGCAGTCTGGTAGAGGAGGGAGAGGGGGAACTGAGAGGGACTGTGTTGTGTGTATTCATCTTGTGTATTCCATGATGCTGGTGGTGACACTTGTTTACCATGGAAGTCGGGGAACCGTTGGTGACCACCATGAGCTGTTGGCTGCGGGATAAAGAAGCAATGGGCAACATGTAAGAGCAACACTATCTCAACCCAGACTGAGGGGTTTCTTGTGTTCCATACGGATACAAGCAGCAACTCGACAGCAAACAAGCCCCTGTTCTCGGCAGCAAGTCACAACAGAGAGGCGAGGGACAAGGAGGTGGAGAGGGACCACTGGTGTAGGAGCCAGAAACGAATCTCAGCTTCAGAGTCCTGGGCGTCTTGGTGGAGTGTCTGGGGATTCTCGGGACCATGGGATTCGGGAAAAGCAAAGGGAAGCAAGCTGTCGGTTGAGAATCACAATGGAGACGTTGCCATCCGGAGAGGGCTTCGGTCAGGGGGCTTGAAGAATCAATACGGGCTGGCAATCTTGACTGCGCTTGCAGTAATGAGATGACCAGAAGCACCTTGTTCACGATTCGTCATGGTTGACTATCAGACTGACAGCAAGGAAAAGGGAGGCGAAATGGCCATCCCGGTTAAGCATAGTTGGGGTTATCGTTTTGGGCTCTTGGAAGGCCGCAAGGCGGGAGGGCCAAGTAGATCCAGTCCAGAGGCAGACACGACAGCAAATGAGCGAGTAAAGGCGTGGTCAAGTCCCCTTGGCCAACGGTCCAACCGAATCCACCGTTGACGGGCTTGGAGGGGATTGAGAGACATGGTGTGGTGAAATTAGGCTCGACGTTGTTAGTTGACTGTGTGTGTGTGGTTCGAGAAAGAATACAGCCTGGGCTGGGCTCTCTTGAGTCTTGCATCAGCCAGTGGCGGAGGGCCAAAAGAAGCAACGAAGAAGGGACGGTAGACGGTGAGCACGAGGTGAGCTGCAACACCAGTGACTACCTTATGCGAAGTATCCGTAAGGTGTACGGAGTACCACACCATACATAATGTCTCTCATTCTCTCCTTCCCACACAATGGAATAAAACGGGTTTGGAAGCGAACCTGGAAGGAAGAAGGATCCAATGCAGCCCGCAGAAGCTAACAGAGGCGGAGCTGCAAGGTACCCGAGGTGCGCAGTCCACTGATTGGAGAGGGATCGGCGGGTGCAGCGGGGGGCAAAGGAGCGAGTTGGGCCTCGTAAACTGCAGTTGCCTCCCAGCTGGAGGAGAAGTTGTGACTCTGTCAGAAAGTTGAGAAGGGGGGAGGAGCGAGTGGTGCGTCCGGGAAATTAGCTAAGCGACATTAGACACTCTAGCACCAGACCCGGAAAATGAGATGAACCTCCCACTCTCCTCCTTTCCAGCCAGGGAGCCTTCTTTTTTGCGCCCATGCCAAGCTGTTTACGCTAGACCCCGGTCCATCCAGTAATCCAGGAACACCTCACCGTCCATCATCAGTCACACGGTACTTACACTACTCCGTACACTACTTTGTACTTCGCACCTTACCTTAGTTTGTATACCTCACCGTCGCGCCGGCCGTTGTTTCCTCGCACCGGTGACCTCAGACCTGACGCTGTCCATCTCGCAGCAGGGTCAATGCTCTGTCGAGTCTCTCGCTCTCTCTCATTGGTATCGGGCTAATAATCTTGATGACAGTTTATTTTCGTATCGTCTCTCTCTCTCTCTCTCACTCGAGAGGGGGGGACCCTCCAACAAGGGTTCCCTCTTCTCCTGCATGGACTGTCAAAGAAAAACATGAACCGTCGCCCGGGCCTCCCAACTTCCGTACAACTTTCCTGCCCTACGCTGATTGCGATGATGATGATCCGTACGAATTGGGAAAGAAGAATAAAATGAGATTCGATTCTTCAGGACGCCGAGAATGCCGTTTCGTCTGACTTGGTCAATCCATTGTCTTGCTCAATCTCCAAGCGCGACAATTCCGATGAACCCCCATAATCCATTACATGGTACGCATACAATGTACATCGGCCAATCCCGACTTCTCGCGGGTGTTGATGCACCCCGCCATCCCATGGAGTCTGAACCTCGTGTTCGTGGCTGATCGCCCGGCGCGCTTCGGCGGCAAATTTGATGTCTCTTGATGGATCATCTGCAACCTTCGGCTCTGGAAGCCACGGCGTATCGGGGGGGGGGGGAAGCAATTTTACAGTCTTGCCCAAAGGAAATCGACGGCGCGTCACCGAGAGATGACGGTCACGAGATGCTCGAGGCGGCATGCGAGAGAGGTGTGCATGCTTTTCTCATCAGGCATGGTTTGGCCCGATGATTCGTACCTGCATCTGGCGCCAGATGCAAGGCCCGTCCGGAGGCAGAAAATAACCCGACGGCCTACTTTTAGACGAGCTGGACCACCCAGACAGACTGGCGCGCGAGACTCGGACTAGACTTTGGAGTCGCTAGACTATCTGAAGCACTAAGAAACGCCTCACCAGAGAAAGGTAGTCGAAACACACCTTTTACCTTGCAACTAGTCTGCTAGCAACTGCTTTTTTGTCTGCCGCAGTCTGTCTCTGGCTGCTCCAAGTTTCTTACCATGCGGGGTGGATCTCCAACGGCCAGGGGGTTGTTATCATCGAACGGTTCTCTCCGCATGTAGGGATACACCGTACGGAACAGACAGAGACAAGAGAGCGCATATCGGGATACAGGATGCCCAACGACGCTACAGAGTGCGCATTGCGTTCTATACACTGCGGATATCTATCTCGAATCGTCGATGCCCGTTGAAACAAATCTGCAATCTTCCCAAACCCAGGAACGCCATCATCAAGCTCAGCCATCGCACAAACACTCTCCACCACACGCGAGCAAGCCCCCAGTGGTTCGGCTTGGACAGAGCTCAGGCACGTGCGAAGCCTTCTTCTGTTCCTTCCGATATAAACGGAAACTGCCAAAATTTGAACACAAAAAAAAGCCTCGAATCTTGCCGCGAAGGAATAGGAAAAATCTGGCATGCCCTGGACGCTCAGGTACTTACGTCAGGTAAGGTAGCACTCCTGCACAAGTCTGAAATGTTTTACCACGCTTAATTGTGCAGAGCAAAATCACTGCACAAAAACGCACCCTCGTCGTCAGTTGTGGATCCCATTTCCCGCAACCCCTTTTTCTTTTTGCTTTCCAGCGCAACAGCCCAAGCCTGGCAGCCAGCTTGGCCAGCTTCTGCTCGACTCTCGAGCCTTGGCCCTTGGCGGGCCCCCTCTGCGCTGAATTCTCATTCACCCGGGCCATCTCCGCCTCATCCCCCCCAGACAAAATGCCGAGCTGAACCAGACTCTTTTCGGGCGGGGACTCGTGATCCCCACCACCCTCTCGTATTCCCCTCCGGGGCCTCGAGGCCTAAGACTCGCCAAAGAAGCAAAGTGTTGGCAAGTTGGTCAATGGTCAACAACGCAACATCCCAGTCACTGCACAAATGCGTGCAACGTGCAGCGACAACGTGTCTGGTCACTGGTGAACCTTGACAACCCTTCCAGATAACAACCATCCCGGAGGAAACATTATGCAGATCTATTTCCCCAATGTTCGCCTAGTTGAAGACGGTCACGATCTGCCAATCTCCTCCAAATCTTCCGAATTTCCCTTCAGAGCCGTAACCTCTCCAGCGCCAAGCTGCCAGAGCTACCCAAAATCAAAAATGTAAGGCGGTGGGGAGTCAAGAGATTGTAGTTCCAGACTCAAGACCCTTTTCGAGTAAGTGATTTACTGGTCTCCTTCCAATACGGTCTTGTTCGTGCTCTATAGAGTACAACTTCCCACATGGTCGCGGGAAGGGCACGGGATATCAGATGGGATACACGTTGGTGAACATCGAGTATCAGTGAAGAATTGTGGCCTAGCAGATCAATGTTAAGGATCCCAAAAGCTTGAACCTTTTGTCGTCTGCGAATCACTCAGTCCAGCCCATTCGAGATCACCATGCGTAGGCCCCCTTTTTTTCAACATATCTCTGCTCAAGCTCTCGCTCTCTTACCACGTAAGCCCTAGGTTCCATCTTAGGGCATTTTGCTTCCAACTTCCAAGACCAAGAAACGGATCATGAAGAAAAACCAGACCGCCATGAGCAAAAAGCCAACTTCATCTCACATCCCAAGCAAAAGCCCACGACTCGGTCACAATCCCCACCGCGCAAGGTCCCTAGACTCTAGACTCCTGGACCAGAGAGAGGTTTTGGCACCAAAAAAAAAGGGGGCAGCTCTCGGTTCCTCTTGACAGAGTCGAGTTTCCCAGTCCCCGGCCCGGGGCAGCCGGAAATATCCGCTCTTTCCGACTTCCGGAGCCAGCGAGGCTCTTGGGGCACTCTTCGCCTAGGTATCGTGGACCAACAGGGTCAACAATATGACAGACTTGACAGACAGCATCCGCAGTCCTCCTCGGAGCACGAGTCGTTGTCGATCATTTCGGCACTTCCGCGCCGCTGCTGCTCGCTGCCAAGTTCAAAGTGGTTATTCGTGAAGAGTACTTCGTACTCCGTAGCCAGCCTAGGACACCCATCCCACCCCAACATGCAGGTA